GCTCTTGTGCAAAGCCAGGAAGACCTCTGCAACCACCCTCCTTACATGTGTTTGACCATCTCTGCCTTACTGGACTCTGGGGAGGTCGTGTAAGGTCACTGGCAGGTTATGGGTGGCTCCCACAAGAAGCAAGGTGGGGGGCTCAAAAACTCTTACCCCCTAGGTTTTGCTGCCACAGAAAGAGTTTTAAGCCTCTCCCTTGCCTATTGGGATCTTTAAAGGTTGTGTAAGATCTTGGATGACACGTTGCAACTGTCATTCCCACCCCCCAATTCTCCATTTATTTATTTCCCCACCGCCCACGCAAAGCTGCAATTGCATAAGTAAATGTGGTCTAAACCACTGAGCCTCTTGGGCTTGCCGATCGGAAGGTCGGCAGTTGGAATCCCCGCAGTGAGCTCCCATTGCTCTGTCCCAGCTCCTGCCAACCTAGCAGTTCGAAAGCACACCAGTGCAAGTAGATAAATAGGTACCGCTGTGGCAGGAAGGTAAACAGCATTTCTGTGAGCTCTGGTTTCCGTCAAGGTGTTCCGTTGTGCCAGAAGCGGTTTAGTCCTGCTGGCCACATGACCCGGAAAGCTGTTTGTGGACAAACACCGGCTCCCTCGGGCTGAAAGCGAGATGAGCGCCGCAACCCCATAGCCGCCTTTGACTGGACTTAACCGTCCAGGGGTCATTTACCTTTACCTATTGTATCGTTGCCCATGTGGGATGTGAAACACAAGAGCAGTCAAGTACCACATTCCTAGAGTGAACATGTTTACACATGGGGAGGAATGTTTATCTAGCCAGCAGGTAAACTTCCTGTTTCCTTCTGGGCTGGGACAGACTTCCTCTGCATGTGACTAGAGGTGGGTGTGGCCTCACCTGTGCAGGTAACGACAAAAGCACAGGGCAGGGCAGCCATCTCTCTCTTTTTGACTACATGCATCGAAGAAGCAACATCTGCTTAGCCAAAGATGCTCGACAGAGGGACTGTCTCCTTATGAGGTAGTTTCCAGGTGTATATTACTTTTCTAAGCTAAGTCTGCCTTCTGGGATCCGATTGTGAACAGAATGTGAGTAAACTCTTTTTATACAGTGGTACCTCGGGTTACATATGCCTCAGGTTACAGACTCCCCTAACCCAGAAATATTACCTCGGGTTAAGAATTTTGCTTCAGGATGAGAACAGAAATCGTGCAGCGCTGGTGCACTGGTAGCAGGAGGCCCCATTAGCTAAAGTGGTGCTTCAGGTTAAGAACAGTTTCAGATTGAGAATGGACCTCCGGAACGAATTAAGTACTTAACCCGAGGTACCACTGTACTTTTATAGAAGACTGTGTCATGTCTTATCTTTTATGAGGGAATAAGGGGGAAATACCAGAACAGTTATTATAGAGGCTTTAGTGAGCCTGAGCAAATGCATCCGCTGTGAGTTTAAAAGGGGGTATGTTACTCTGCTAAATTGTGAATTTGTTAACACAAGTTGGAAAGGCTATAATCTAACAATATACCCTCTCCTGCATCCCTGAACATTCCCACAGCCCACACCCCAATCTCCGAGCACCAAGAGATTCCAGGGGTTCCTGTGCTTTCCCGGAGCTCTGTTCCTTGGAATGAAAGTCAGCGGAGACCCTGGTTTCGTTTGGATACATGGTTTCATTTACACACCTACACAACCTCAGCTTAGGATGGAGGTGCTCAAAGCATTCACACCCCAACAGAAAGAAGGTTCTTTTTATCATATATGGTGGTCTTGTAGTAAGGTTAAAGCTTATTTGGAAATGATATAATGATAATGATATCAATGAAATGAAAAGGATGTTTAAAATAACATTTGTAAAAACAAACAAACCCTGAAGCCTTTCTCTTGGGAATTATAGGGATAGAACTACCTAAATTGTATATACATTTATTCATGTATGCGACTATAGCGGCAAGAATGTTACTTGCCCAAAAATGGAAAAAATAAGAAGACCCAGTAAAGGAGGAAGGCATACAAAAGCCTATGGAATATGCAGAAATTGCAAAACTTACCGAAAGAATAAGAAATCAAGATAACAAACTTTTTATAAAAGAATGGAAAGGGTTTACGGAATATTTACAAACAAACTGGAAGCAGATAAGAACATTGGCAGGATTATTGTAATAACCTGCAGTTTTATAAGAGTATATATTTAAAGTAGGTGAATAAATGAGCAGATTAAGTTACTTTGGATTTGCAGAAGATATTAAAAATAAATTTAAGGAACCGCAGAGAGAGGGGGAAGGAAGTCAAGTTTTAAAACGTCAAAATGACTGTAAAATTAGTGAAATGTATATATCTGGAAAGTATATTTTTTTAAAAAAAGAGAGATCTTACTTCTCCATTTGGTTTCCAGAGAAGCCCCCAACTTACAGGCTTGGGTCGAGCACAGAGCAAGACACACCTCTGTGTCTCCATCTTCCAGTGCCATCCAAAATTCAGACACACGTTTCCCTCACGCACAGCCCTGCTTGGCCTATTGTTCTCCACCCTAGTATGATGCGGCATCCCGACGTATATTGTTCATTGATGTATATTGTGCTCTAGGAGGCTTCGTTTGATCGGAATCAAGTATACCCTTCTAGAGTTAACGCAAAATAACATCGCTTCTGGTAAATGAGCTGCGAGAGGGCTGTGAAAATTTGTGTCCCCAGCTTTCCAGACTCATCTGCTATACAAATCCAAAGGGGCACATTGGTTGCCAGAAGTGAAATCTATTAGCATTATTTTCACCCTTCCTACCCCACTATGTGCAACCTCCAACAAGGAACCCTTCATTTTTAAGCAGTGAAACAGCTGGACTGCAGCCCTTCCACAGATTCTTTCACTCACAATGACTGCCCTTAGAAGCTGTGGTTCTCCTCTGCCTTTAAACTGGGAGTTTAAAAGCAACAACTATTCTTTGGGTCTCTTGATGCATGCTATTATTATTATTATTATTATTATTATTATTATTATTATTATTACCCCACCCATCTGGCTGGGTTTCCCCAGCCACTCTGGGCAGCTTGCAACAAAAGATTAAAAATACATTAAAGCATCAGTCATTGAAAACTTCCCTAAACAGGGCTGCCTTCAAAGGTCTTCTAAACGTCAGATAGTTGTTTATTTCTTTGACATCTGATGGGAGGGCATCTTCATATTTCTCGAAGTGAAGTATTAGGCCTGACCTGAACTGTGTGGCTGCCTGGAGTGTAGAGTGCTCTCCCTCTCCTTCAACACACAGACACACACTCCATGGAGCGCAGTTGCTCTTTGCTCCTGGAAAAAAGAAACCAGAGTTCTAGCTGCAAGCTGATTTGTTCAAGCAGAAGCACATGTGCATTTGGCATAATCTGCCCTATAAGAGATGCAGTAGGGGCAAAATTGCTCTGCTCTGCCTCATCCCTGCAATGGAGAACTTTGAAATCATAGGCATGCAATAGCTCAGGTGTGGCCAACTCCCAAGAGACTGCAATCTACTCACAGAGTTAAAAACTGGCAGTGCTCTACCCCCCTTTTTGGGGGTTCAGGTCATAGTTGTTGAGCTTTTTAGGGGAGCCTAAGATGTTGAGCATCTTTGGGGGGGAGCCAGTGATCTACCAGTGATCTACCACAGATTCCCAGTGATCTAACAGTAGATCACAATCTACCTGTTGGACATGCCTGCTATAGCTGAATTAGACAAGGCTGATCCACAAACAAAGGCTCCTGTTATATGCTAAGTATGGTGTGTGTGTGAAATGCCCTTAAGCAAGCAAACCCTTTGCTGTTCTGGTTATCTTCTTTTCAGACATGCATATGACATACCCCCCCCCTCATTTTGAGTCAGGCCACGTTGATGACTTCACACCTGCGGTTTGCGACCGACGCTGAGACGTTTCCATGACACTCGAGTAGTTTTCGCAAGGTGTCACATGTACCTTAAGTGGCACTCAAATCAGAGGCTATAGAATATAGAATATTTTCAGAGAGCAAATGTGCTGAAATTGAAATGTGTTAGGAGCCTTTTGAATATCTTCTTGCAGCCTTGCTTGAAGTGAAGACAGCTTCCTTTCACCCAAGGAAGGAAGGAAGGAAGGAAGGAAGGAAGGAAGGAAGGAAGGAGGGAAACTTGTAGTACAAGGGATCCAACTTGATTAAGAATAGCTGTAGAAATAATAACACACAACAATCAGTTAAGTCACATGAATGTTACAGCATAACCATAAATGTTACAGCAGCAGAGGGCCCAGCAATTCTGGATCCTTATCAATAAAGGAAAATTAAAATTAAAGACATGTTTCCTCAAACCAATCTTTCTTCGCTTCACCTCTCACCACTTGTCTGTGTTGTTCAGGCAAGGCTATCAATTATCTATGCCTTTGGGGTTTTTTTTGTTGTTATTGGTCATTATTGTTTGACAAATGACAAGTGTGTTTTTATACAAAACATCCGACAGACAGAACATCTATCTAAAAAAAAATCCCAGCCCACCTGCCCCTGGAAATATAGACCCTTACTCCTGGTACAGTAGAAATTTTTTTAAAAACAATTTTAAAATATCATAATCCATCAAAATTTCCAGGCTTGTCAAAAACTTACTAGAATCATCAACAGTATTAAAATCCTACTCCAGCCTCCTCTCTCCCAATTAACCTCCATCTCCAAGGCTAAGTGATGGGAGGGAGTGCAGAAGAGAAATCACCAGGGGCTTCCCCTAAGTGTCAGGTTTGGTCCCTGAAATCTCAGGTCCTGGGATGCTCCTGACCTGGCAACCCTAGCAATGGTGGATATTTTTGGAGGGCTTTGGGGGTGAGAATGTGGCTGCACACCTGCCGAGATGCGCCCTTGTGCTTGCTGGTGAGGTTGAGATAAATCGCCAGCCCTAGTTCGTATGGAAGCAGAGTAATCTTTCCTGATAAAATTCATGTGCACCTTCTGTTGATGCATTTTTACCAACAGGTACCAGAACTTCCCTAATTATTCTGTTTGCTGACCTGCCCATCCTCTTCCTCTCACCATTGTTTTCTAGGGAATAGAATCAGAAATGGATGATCTCAGTATGGAGACCCTGAAGGACGAAGTGGATGCCCTCTGGGAGAATGTCGAGTGCAATCGCCACATGTTGACCCGCTACATCAACCCAGCCAAGCTGACCCCTTACTTGCGCCAGTGTAAAGTCATTGATGAACAAGATGAGGACGAAGTGCTCAACTCGCCAATGCTGCTCTCCAAAATCAACCGAGCAGGTACAGCCAGGTGCCCACAGCTACGCTGATTTGGACATTACAATGGCACCAGTCTTCTGTCAGAACATTTGTACCAAATTCAGGGTTCCGGGTAGGGTTACAGCAAGTGAAAAGCTGTCCATGGGTACATTGGGAGAGATATTTAGTGTTTTGGGAGCTGTAAATTGCGTGTCGGGGAAAGGTAGGTTTGCCATATTTCTAAACCAGGACACCCCAAAAGTTGTTGAGCTTTTTTTAGACAAATCCCAGAGCTGTTGAGCTATTTTTTACAAAGACACCAACCCCCCCCCCCACAGTTTTTCAATTGACTTGCCTAAGGTCCAGGACAGGCACTGCCTTTCAAACGCCAATTTCTTCTTTGAAATCCACAAGTATATCAGCCCTAGGAGAGGTGCTTTAGATATAGAAGGAGATACAGGGAGACCTAGGAGACCTCTAAGAGACCTAGGAAAGGTGCTTTAGATATAGAAGGAGATACAGATAGCTATTTCAAACTTTCTGTGCCACTTTTGTACACCCTCTTCAAATTATAGTGGAAAGTTAATGAAACAAGAGTTCTCCTCCCTCATCTCATCCAGATGTCCTGTCTTGGTCACCCTCTAGGTCGGCTGCTGGACATCCTCCACACGAAAGGAGAGAGGGGCTATGTGGTTTTCCTAGAAAGCCTAGAATTTTACTACCCAGAACTGTACAAACTGGTGACGGGGAAGGAGCCGACACGGCGATTTTCCACCATTGTTGGTAAGTTAGATCCAGCCTTACCAGGGCTCAGTGGGGGAAGCAGAATCATTGCAAGGGAAATCATGAATAAAAAGGTCTGCATGAGCTTTCCCGGTTCTTACACAGAGCACCAATGGGGCCAAGTGGGGAGGAGAATCAGAGCAGCAGGACAATCAGGTGGGGAAGCTGTATGGTTGGTGGTCCCTCCAGATGTTTCTCAACTACAACTCCCATTATCCTTGACCGTTGGCCAGGCTGGCTGGGGCTGATGGGAGTTGGAGTCCAGTGACATCTAGCCCTGCCCTGCTGAATCAATCCAAGGGTCCTTGTCTCACCAAGCATCCTACACACCCACCCCAGTCTGGGGTCATTGGGCTTTGATTCTCCAAACAAACCCAAGGTTATCTGAGTGTTGGGAGATTAAGGTGATGGCCATCAACTTGGATGGCTTTAGAAGAGGACTAGACAAATTCATGCAAGAGAGGGCTACCAATAGCTGCTAACCATGGTGGCAATGTTCTGCCTCCATGGTCACAGGCAGTAATGCTTCTGAATACCAGTTGCTGGAAACCTCTTGTGCTCGGATCCTGTTTGTGGGTTTCCCCCAGGCATCTGGATGGCCACTGTGAGTACAGGATGCTAGACTAGATGGGCCACTGGCCTGATCCAGCAGGCTGCTCTTAGATTCTTCTGTTTTGTTTGGACCAGGGGACCCTGGTTCTCTCCTTGTCACCTCAATCCATGCTCTGCTGCTCACTTGCGGCAATGTAACCCTGTCAAGCCACGTAGTCCTGGTACCCTTTGTCCGTCTCCTTTCCATTTCAGTAGAAGAGGGTCATGAAGGCCTCACCCATTTCCTGATGAACGAGATCATTAAGCTGCAGCAGCAGGTCAAGACCAAGGATGCTCAGCGCTGCGAGCTCCTGGCCAAATCCCGCCAGCTGGAGGATGAGCGGAAGCAGCTGAAGCTCAACCTGAAGGAGCTGGTGACCTTCCAGGAGAGGTACAACAAGATGAAAGAGGAAAGGAACAACTACAACGACGAGCTCGTCAAGGTGAAGGACGAAAACTACAACCTGGCCATGAGGTATGCCCAGCTGAGCGAAGAGAAGAACATGGCAGTGATGAGAAGCCGGGACCTCCAGCTCGAGGTGAGAGAGGCACTCAGGGAAGAGAAGAGGGGCTGTTTAGACTCCACATCTGACTGCAAATATCTTCTTTGCCCATTTGTCAAAGACAGAAATGGAGAACCTGCCGCCCTCCAGATGTTGTTGGACTCCAACTCCCATCAGCCCCATCCAGCATAGCCAGTGATGATGGGAACTGGAGTCCAACCAGATCTGCCCTTATACTGGTTTATGAATCATTCTGTCAGGCTTCAGGGAACCAGATCCCTCCCACGGTTGGAGCCCAGAATCAGAGAAATGATAAATGTTCTTACCAAGCAATTTATTCAATAATTCACAGAGAACGGCAAAGGAATGCAGCCTTCCCTAATAATGGTGTTGCTCCAAGTAAAGCCCCCCCCCATCTCTCTTATCCTACAGCATCCCTGGGCTTTCTGTCTCTGAGATTTCTGATTGGCTACTCTCACTGCACATCTAGTCCTGGGGGAGGCCTCCCCTCCCCCCAGAAATGCTCTCCAAAGACGCTGGGTCTGTCAGCTGTCTTTCCCCCAGTGTTTCTGCTTCCTCTTCCAATATTTCCCAGCTTTTCCCCTCTGCATTCTCTGAACTATGTCCTTCTGCAAACACTGTTCTAAATCTATACTGTCTTCCTGTTGTCAGGGAAGGTTCAGGAGAAGGGGCACAGCCCCCACCATTCCTCCTCAGTCCAGCCCTGACGCATTCTCTCACAAAGGACCCACAGGAACTCTAGTTCTGTTAGAAAACATGGTGATCTCCAACTGAGAAGTACCAGCACTCTCACAAAACTATAGTTCCCAGGATTCTTTTGGGGGAAACGACAACAGTTAAAATGGTATAAAACGAAGATACATTCAGGGTTTTAATAAACCCGAAGTCCAAAAGTGAAATGAATCTGATGTCTTTAGGCAAGGCTTGTCATCACTCACAATGTCCCGCCTTTTGAAACATAGGCTGTGCACACCATTCACCAGGACAGAGTCTAGTTTTAGGGGACAAGCGTTGATTTGATGTTTCTTTGCTTATTTCCCTCTCTCTCACACACATTCGCTCCACACTGGTAGATTGACCAGCTGAAGCACTGGCTGAACAAAGTGGAAGAGGAATGTAAGCTTGAGAGAAACCAGTCCCTGAAGCTCAAGAATGACATTGAGAACCGGCCAAAGAGGGAACAAGTCCTGGAACTGGAGCGAGAAAATGAGATGTTGAAGACCAAGATCCAGGAGCTACAGTCCATAATTCAGGTGAGCAAGGATTAATTTCTGGCTCATGGCTGGTTGTTGTTGTTTAGTCATTTAGTCGTGTCTGACTCTTCGTGACCCCATGGACTAGAGCACGCCAGGCACTCCTGTCTTCCACTGCCTCTTGGTCAAACTCATATTGGTAGCTTCGAGAACACTGTCCAACCATCTCATCCTCTGTCATCCCCTTCTCCTTGTGCCCTCCATCTTTTCCAACATCAGGGTCTTTTCCAGGGAGTCTTCTCTTCTCATGAGGTGGCCAAAGTATTGGAGCCTCAGCTTCAGAATCTGTCCTTCCAGTGAGCACTCAGGGCTGATTTCCTTCAGAATGGAGAGGTTTGATCTTCTTGCAGTCTATGGGACTCTCAAGAGTCTCCTCCAGCACCATAATTCAAAAGCATCAATTCTTCGGCGATCAGCCTTCTTTATGGTCCAGCTCTCACTTCCATACATCTGGGAAAAACCATACCTTTTACTATACGGACGTTTGTTGGCAAAGTGATGTCTCTACTTTTTAAGATGCTGTCTAGGTATACCGCCCTTCATCTGAAGATCACAGGGTGGTTTACATCATAAAAATACATAATGAAAAAACAAAAGACCTGTCATAACAACAGCAACAACCAACAGCCTCCTTCCACAAACACATTTAAAAAGCAATAGATTGTTTAACCAGCCCAAGGTGTGGTTCAGCCCAGACACTGAGATCCACCTCTGAGGGCCTTCTGGCAGTTCCCTCACTGTGAAAAGTGAAGCCACAGGGAACTAGGCAGAGGGCCTTCTTGGCAGTGGCACCCATCCTGTGGAACACCCCTCCACCCCCATCAGATGCCAAGGAGACAAAGAACTACACTTTCAGAAGACAGCTGAAGGCAGCCCTGTACCGGGAAGTTTTTTATGTTTGACCTTTTATTGTGGTTTTTATAGGTATTGGAAGCCACCCAGAGTGGCTGGGACAACCCAGCCAGATGGGCGGGGCGGGGTACAAAGAATAAAATTGTTCTCATTATTATTTATTAAACCGTAAAATAAAATTTAAAAAATAAAAAATCAAGCAAAACGTAGATTTACTGCAACACATTGCCGGATTCAATTTGTTCACATTATTTCAATCTACATTAGTATGATTCCCCTGGTTTTGGGTGGGGATAAGCGAGTAATAAGCAGAGAAGAGCAAAATGGGGAAAGAATTTTCGGGAGTGTAAGAAACTCTTTAACAAGGTTCTGATTTTCCCCGTGATGACATCAATGCTTTTTGGGGGGGAAATATCAAATGTCAGATTCTTTTTTTCCCCCTTTTTAAATGTTCTTCTTCGGTGAAGCTGCTTTGCTCGTGCCCTAAGCATGTGCATAGACTGCCTCTCGGGTAACCCAGCAACCCTCTGGCTCATTCGTTTTCCGTGCATTCCACCTTCCATCTGAGACGACCCTCCCCATATTCCCTTCTGCCATCTTCCCGGGAGATGCCTTGCAACTAATAATTTGGAAGAGTGAGAGCGTTAATCAGTTAATCAGCATGACTAACTTGAGCTTAATCACAAGCTGGAAACAAAGCAGTGAAGAAATAAAGTTGTAATTAATTGGAGCCAGACAGATTGGCTCACCCAGGAGCGCAGCAGAGAAACAACTACACAGAGATATGCACGTCCCCCTTGAACTCAGCGGGACTTAATTTTGGGGGGAAAGAAGTGCGTAGGATGAAGAGTTCTGTGGGGTTTGGATCTGAGATCTCATAGCAGAGCAGTGTTCGGCTGTGTCAGGGACTTTAAAAAAGCGAACGCTTTTTATTCTTTGCTTGTCACGTATCTGTACCTTTCAACTCCTAGTTTATGAGATTATTTTTGGACACCTGAAGGGAGAGGGGGAAAGAGTTGCGAAGTGAACATTTGTTCTGGTCGGCAGCAGGGATGATGACTTCAGGGACTGTTCACCGAGTAATTTTCCGGAAACGTGGAGGAGAGGGCTATTGATGGCTACTAGCCATGATGTCTATGCTCTGCCCCCAGTCAGATGTTTATGAATCCCAGTTGCTGGAAACTGAAGGAGTGGAGAGTTGCTCTTGTCCTCAAATCCTGCTTGTAGGTTTCCCATAGTGGGCCTCTGGTTGGGCCACAGTGAGAACAGGATGCTGGACTAGATGGGTCATTGGCCTGATCCAGCAACCTCTTCTCAAATGGCTCTGCACAATTTAAGAACCTCTCTGCTTGTGCTTTCAAGCCCTGCTCTGTGGGACAAAGGATACCTTTTTTTGTTGTTGACATTTTATTAATTTTCCAAAAAACAAAAATAAAAGCAAGAACAATACAAAATCAAAAACCATTTCTTTTTTTGCTCGACTTCCCTCCTCTCCCCCTCTTGGTTCCATTATATTGAACTTATTCATGCACGTCCATAAAAACTTATACAGTCATACCTCAGGTTACAGCCGCTTCAGGTTGCTTCAGGTTACGCACCCGCCGAAACCCGGAAGTACCGGAACGGGTTACTTCCAGGTTTCATCAGTCGTCCATGCGCAGGAGCTCTAAATTGCGCTTTGTGCATGCGCAGAAGCGCTGAATCACAACGCACGCGTGAGCAGACGCACAGATGTGGGTTGCGAACGCTGCAGGTTGCAAACGTGCATCCCACACAGATCATGTTCGCAACCCGAGTGTCGACTGTATTTTTAACAATCCAGTTTTAAAACCTAATGGACAAAGGACACATTTGAGGGCTTATCCGCATGCTGCCTCCAGGATAGAAATAATGTAGCCCTCATTCCCGGTGACTATTTTAAATCAATCTAATAAATGAATGCACATCCCACAACCTTCTGCATAAATACCCTTAGAGTAGCTAACCAAATCTGACTGTGTGAGCGATGACGCATCGTCGTATCATTGTTCCGAGGAGCATTCTTGGGGGGGAATGGTGCATGTCCTTCTGTGGGGTGGACACAGTTTGTCCTCCAGAAGCCCCTTACGGGTGATGCTAGCCTACTTTTGGGAAAGCCACACAGAGGGGAGCTGCTGTCACTGCAAAACATGGGTGGCGGCAGCCCAGAAAGGTGAAGCGGCGAGGAACTGAACCCATCTTTTGCACCCTCCAAAAACCCTGTTTTTGAAAAGTCAGAGCTTTCTGCCCATCTCTGTTTATTGAATGACCTTGGATAAAGAAATATATGAGAAATAAGATTGATGGTGCAAATTGCTGTAAGAATGTATTAGAGAATATATAAAGAACAGAGAAATGGTGGTAGGTACATTCACTATCAGAATAAAATCATACAACAGGAATTGACAGGAAGTCCAAAGCTTTTGTGATATTTTTTGTTAATAATTTGGGTCAACACTCTTTGTTAATAATCGCATAAAAAGCAGCATAAATACAGCTGAATACAGCCGAAGCTTAAGGTTTATAAATATGTAAGAAAAGATAAGTATATGTTTTTGTTTTTCTCCTTTTTATGTATATGATTGAAGTTTTAATTTATTTTATGAGATGGTCTATATATATATGTAATGTATTGCAAGATTATTAATAAAGACGGGAGGGTGGGAGAGAAAGAAGGAAAAGTCAGAGCTTTCTGCCCATCTCTGTTTATCACACTAAGGGTGACCACTGGATGTAGCTTAACGCTTTAGAGCCATAGTCCAGTGGAACAGCATCTGCTGTAACCCCTAAAGGTCCCAGCTGCAACCCCCCAGGTAGAGGTGGCAGAGACCTGCTGCCTGAAACCCTGGAGAGTTTCTGCCAACCAGTGCAGACCATACTGAGCTAGACGGAGCAAGGATCTGAACTCAGGAGAATGCGCCTGTCTGTGTCTCTTCAATTATAGACTCCTGCAGGCTTTTCTCCACCTCCTCTGTGATTATATGTACCCTGCAATCACCTGTCCTGGTGTCTGAAGATGGATGTGTTGGTAAACAGCCTGTAAAATTTTCTTCTTAAGAAAGCAAAAATCTCATAATGCTTAATAGCAGGTTTAATCTCGCAGCAGCAGCAGCTGCTCCTCTGCCTGCCACGCTGAGATTTTACTTCTAGCCTGAAGAGCGTGTTGAAATCTGAAGAAAAGGAGCGCATGGGTGCATGCTCCCAGCAAGCTTTTTAAAAACCCATTCCTCCCAGAGGCAAAGTTGTGACAGCGGCTTTAGCTGGCAGGGACAGGTACCTGGGCTGAGTGGAGCTCATGCTTTCTGAACATAGAGCATGATGTGCATCTCTCACTGGGATTGCATGTGCACAGAGACCCCCTGGGAAAGGGGGTGGAGGGTTGGAGAATGCAGGAATGCTTAGGATGGCACATTTGCACCACTTGTGTCATGCACATTCATTAAAGGGGGCTGGGAGAGCTTTGGCAGAACCCACTGGGATCCGTGCTAAAAGGACTGTGATCATGGCAGTGCGTGTTTCTAGATGCCCTCCAGATAGGATGCAGGCTAAAATGTATCAAAGGCTATGTTATAAAATATAGCACGGAAAAGCAATATTTACTTTGCCCTGTGAGATTGGCCCAGGGTTTCTTTGTTTGTTTTCCTGAAGGTGCCTACAATCTAAGGAAAGAGCTGCCTTTCTTTTTCTCCCTGTGATCCGTGTCTCTTCTTTCCCTTTCCCTCTTCCTTCCACCCACCACTGGCCTCTATCTACGCCTTTTGCACAAATGTCTTTCAGGCTGGGAAACCCAGCTTGCCGGATTCAGACAAAGCCATTTTGGATATTCTAGAACACGACCGCAAAGAGGCCCTGGAGGATCGCCAGGAGTTGGTCAACAAGATCTTTAACCTTCAGGAAGAGATCCGCCATGCGGAGGACCTCCGAGATAAGGTGAGGTGGAAAGCAATAGGCGCTAAGAACGGAAGCAGGAAGCTTAATCTAGATCTACTGGTTTGGGGTAGGAGGTGTTGCGCATCCGACAAAGTGCCCAATGGCATTTTTAGGGCCAGGGCAAGATTTCCATTCCTGTAACCCCCTTCGCATCAAAACCAGAACTGTGGGTGAGCTGAAAAGAATTACCATTGCCCTCGCTTGGCAACTCTTTTGCACAATGTCAGCTGCTTTGTGCTGCCACACGTGGTCCCTTCTTCCTCCTCACTAGCACTGTTCATGAAATAATGTGTTTCGCTGTGTTAGGCTGCAGGCAAAGGATCGACAGCCTGGCTTTCTGTCCTCACTAAGCCCTTGAGCATAACACCATCGGGCTATTTGCCTGCCATCTTTAGTAAAGGTAAAGGGACCCCTGACCATTAGGTCCAGTCGTGGCCGACTCTGGGGTTGCGGCGCTCATCTTGCTTTATTGGCCGAGGGAGCCGGCGTACAGCTTCCGGGTCATGTGGCCAGCATGACTAAGCCGCTTCTGGTGAACCAGAGCAGCGCACAGAAACGCTGTTTACCTTCCCGCCGGAGTGGTACCTATTTATCTACTTGCACTTTGATGTGCTTTCGAACTGCTAGGTTGGCAGGAGCTGGGACTGAACAACGGGAGCTCACCCCGTCACAGGGATTCGAACCGCTGACCTTCAGATCGGCAAGTCCTAAGCTCTGTGGTTTAACCCACAGCGTCATCCATGTCCCATCTTTAAAAGATGCTTAATTATTCCACGAGCAGCATATAACATTTTATCTTGTTGGTTATCCAGCAATATGATACTCATTTTACACACTGTGCAAAGGATGCCCTAGTTATGCAGCCTACCCCATCAAACAACAACATTATTATGGTACTGCTTGACCAACTCTTCTAACGGAGGCACTGTCTGCAATGAGGCCTTGCAAACAGATTTCAGAGAAATACCAAGCCCATGGGACTCAGTACCCCCCAAACCCTCTTGCCTCGCTGCCATCTGGCGCCCTGACATGCGGAGATAGATCAGCAGGGGTTCCCCGCTTTGGAGCAGGCTAGCCCTCCATCGATCGCCTTGGTGCCCTGTGCTTATTGATTGATTCCTTTGTAGTACCTCGAGGAGAAACAAGAACTGGAGTTGAAATGCTCCACTCTGGGGAAGGACTGCGAAATGTACAAGCATCGGATGAACACGGTGATGATTCAGCTGGAAGAAGTGGAGAAGGAGAGAGACCAGGTACTGTACTTGGAACCACGAGAGCTGGGGAGGGAGGGAGAGAAGTCAGGGAAGGAATCGGCGTGAGAGTCGAGCAGAGAGTTCTTACAGGAACTTTTGCAGCTCCCGTTTCAGGGAAGAGGAAGGCAAAACATTTTATGGAACGATGCCTCCCTGTCAGGCGTGGAAGTATCCTCTCCTCCCACAGTGGCCTCGGAGTCAAGAAGAACAGTTCATATTTTATGGCTTTTTGTTCAGTCATCTTGTTGCAAGCCAAAAGATCCATGTCTCCACACATAGGAGACATTGGCTCCTCTGAGTCCCTCCTCTTCCATCTCCCACAACATCCTGGGAACCTACAAGAGTCACATCCCTCTGCATTCTCTGTGCTTGAATGTGGAGGAACCTGTGAGCCTTTGGACTAGAGGGTCTCCCACACTCTCCAGGGAGGTCTCTGCAGTCTGCTCTCTAACTTCCCCCTCCTCCTGCTCCACTATCCCATAACTAGGCATTTCCTCATTCAGCTGTACATCATCCCTGTCTCCCTCTCCTCCTGAAACTGCTGGAGACTGAGAGGGCAAAACTTCCCACTCCTCCTCTTCTGAGAGGAGCCAATCAGACCGAGGGCTCATTTCCCATTCCTCTTGTTCAGTCCAGGCCCTGACATCCCCCCTCTGCTTTGGCTCCCAGTACGTTTCCGAGCACAATCCAAAGTGTTGGTGCTGACCTTAAAAGCCTTAAAACGGCCATGGCCCAGTAGACCTGAAGGAACGTCTCCATCCCCATCGTCCAACCCAGACACTGAGGTCCAGCTCTGAGGACCTTCTGGCGGTTCCATCCCTGCGAGAAATGAGGTTACAGGGAACCAGGCAAAGGGCCTTCTCAGTAGTGGCGCCCGCCCTGTGGAACGCCCTTCCATCAGATGTCAAGGAGATAAGCAGCTATCTTATCTTTAAAAGACATCTGAAGGCAGCCCTGTTTAGGGAAGTTTGTAATATTTAATGCTGTATTGTTTTTAACATTCAATTTGGAGCCGCCCAGAGTGGCTGGGGAAATAATAATAATAATAATAATAATAATAATAATAATAATAATAATAATAATAATTCTCTTTCCTTGTTGACACCATCAGTTCAGTCAGTGGCTCTCCCCGCTGCTGCTCTGTGCCGCATCCCACATATCCACTGTGACGTGTGCCGGTTGGACTACTGTAATGTGCTCTACGTGGGGCTGCCTTTGAAAAGTGTTCAGAAGTTTCAGCTGGTCCAAAGTGTTGCAGCCAGACTGCTGACTGAGGCTGGTCACAGGGAGCATGTTATTCACCTGTTAAAGCAACTTCACCAGCTCCTCCTCTGCTTCTGGGCTCAATTGAAAGTGCTTGGTTTTGGCCTATAAAGCCCTATCTGTCTTGAGCCACCTGAAAGATTGTATCTCTTTATGCGAATGTTTTGGGTGCTAAGATCCTCCGGCGAGCACCTTCATCCGACTCTCTTTGCTTTCAAAGGCATTCCATTCACGGGATGAGGCTCAAGCCCAGTATTCCCAGTGTCTGATTGAGAAGGATAAGTACCGGAAGCAGATCCGGGAGCTTGAGGAAAAGAACGATGAGCTCCGAATCGAGGTGGTCCGGAAGGAAGCCTGCATCTTTAACATGGAGTGCAAACTTAGGCGTCTCTCCAAGGACAACTTCTTTGATCAGGTAGAGCCAGTGGAGGTTCTTGCTCTGGGTCACATCACACACTGTTTTTTTTTTTTGGGGGGGGGGAGGTATGTTTACAGCCAATATTTGTTTAAGTGTGCAATGAGAATCCTAACGTGCGAATGCAGCATCCATGCACCTGCAACCATCAGGAATCCTCCCCTGGGTCCCAGGTCCAGAATATCCTCCAAGCAGGGTGGCACTGACGAAAAATGGGCAGGACTAGGAGAGGGCTCTGGGAACATCTTGAAGCAATCCTAAAACTTCTTGTCAGCTCTGGGACATTAGCCCATGGTCCATATATTTGGAACTCTCCTTCCTTGAAGGTTTTGAATGGCAGAGGTTGGATGGCCAGGGAAGATTTAGATGAGATTCCTTCATTGCAGAAGGTTGGACTAGATGACACTCAGGGTCCCTTTGGACTCTACTATCTGGGGCTGGTGGGAGCTGGAGTAGAATAACATCTGGAGGGCCACAGGCTCCCCACTAGTGCACTGGGTGAATTATTTTGAAGTGCAGTATTCAAATGCTAGAATCCTAGAGCCCGAAGGGACCTTGGAGGTTGATTATTCCAACTCCCTGCTCAGTACAAGATGCTGCAGATGCAGGATGCAACCACCACATCCCAGATGGTGGCCAGCCTCTGCCTAAATCCCATTGCCTCCTGGGACAACCACTTCCACAGCTGTTACCATTAGGAAGCTTCTCCTAATGGTCTCTTGCTGGCAACTCTAACCATGTCTACACAGAATTGAGTCCTATTGAATTCAAAGAAGCTTCCTCCCAGGTATGTGAGGTTAGGACTACAACTCTGATTAGGGAGCCACATTGAGCTCACCGGTCACTAAAGTCTTCCTTCCGTTTGCTTCCAGAGCTTACCAAGGAATCTGCCCCTCACTGTGATTTCTCAAGCTCCCAGCTCCAGGATCAACGGCCAGGAGGCAGACGATTCCTCGACGTCTGAGGAGTCTCCAGACGACAGCAAGTTCTTCCTGCCCAATCAGCCTCGAATCCGAAGGATGAACCTGAAGGGAATCCAGGTACTTTCCAACACAAGGCAAAATTCTCAGAGGCCCAAGGTCATGATTTAAGACCTCTAAGATGCCCTTGGTCAACTTAGTACTCTGCAAAGTTTTCAGACAACAATTCCCAACAGCCCCAGCTGGCTGGTTGAAACTGGTGGTACTCCAAAAGATCTGGAGGGTGCCAGCTTGGGGAAGGCAATACTGGGGCATGTTCTGCAGGGAATCATCTTGAGGGTGTCAAGAGCTCAGCCTACACTTGAGTAGGACCCTGATAGAGACATGCCCGACTGGCATGTTCTCTCCCTCCTGGTCAATTGTTTGGGAGCTTCATAAGCTTTCTTCAGCCCGAACATCACAGTGACACCGGCACACTTAGGGATCTGCAGAGTTTGCACATCATGCATAACAGACCTCAGCAACTCAGCATTTTGGCTAATCTACTTTATTTACATCTAAACACACATGGAGCACTGCAACATGGCTCCTTCTCTCTCTAGCATCAGACAACAAAGAGAAACAGAACAAAGGACAATAGTCTCACTTCACGGAACACAGTAACACAAACATCCTGTCTCTGTCACTTTCCACTCTGTGGAGTCAAAACATACCGTCATGTGATAGACAACAATCCCGTGACTGGAATCATGGAGCAGGAATTCTAACATCGGGTAGGCAAGCATGGATGCCATGGTATTGATAATATCCTGCCTTTTGGATGGAGAATACAGGAAGAGCAGATAGAGGACCCAGGGCTTTTTTCAGCTGGAACTCACCAGAACTCAGTTCCAGCACTTCTCAGGTGGGCGCCATTGCCATTATAAGAGAACAAGGGAGGCGTTCATGGTGAGTTGCAGCACCTCTTATTGCAACGAACATACCTGGAGTCAAACCTACAAACAGCTGTCAGCATGGTGCAGTTGGGCTAACTCTGTGGAGAACCATATTTTGGGAGTAGGCAATCCATTCCTCTGTTGCATTCTGAGGAATACAGTGTTTCTTCTTGATAGTTGCAAGAGCAGAAAAAGAAGAAGAAAGAAAAGCTGGAAAATTGGAGTGATCCTTTAAGCTCCAGCACAAATGGAAAAGCTGATAGACAGCAGAAGGCTGATGGAAAAGTTCCCATTGGGTGGGAAGAATAATAGGGAGAAGACAGCCAAGATCCAGAGGAAAATTAGCTACCTAATTCAGAGTTAAATTAAACCTTGTCTTTTTTACTCATTCAAGTGTACAGGGAAACGTGCTTGAAGTCCTTGATTCTGCTTGATTGACTGAATCTTCTGCCACTGTGGGAAACTGCAAAAAGTTTCACTAAGGCAAATTTAGCCACAATTTAGCTGAGCTTTTTTTAGATTTTGGGTTCCATTTAAAACATTGCCAGGATTTACCACATGGGTAGGCAACCTAAGGCCCAGGGGCCAGATCTGGCCCAATCGCCTTCTCAATCCAGCCTGCGGACGGTCCAGGAATCAGCGTGTTTTTACATGAGTAGAATGTGTGCTTTTATTTAAAATGCATCTCTGTGTTATTTATGGGGCATAGGAATTGGTTTATTTTTTCCCCTTCAAAATATAGTCTGGCCCCCCACAAGGTCTGAGGGACAGTGGACCGGCCCCCTGTTGAAAAAGTTTGCTGACTCCCTGATTTACCATAATCTGCTAGCTTAGTCCAGTTTGGAGATCTTTACCCACACACCGCATGCCTTGATGATCTCATTAGCACACATCCTACCCAAGAGGTTTTCATTTAGGGCTGTGGCTTGGATGTCATGGTTTAAGGCATTCATTTACTTTGTTAGTTTGCACTCCATTTTCTCACGAGACAAATGGATGCCAACAACAACTGTATTAATAATAATTTATAATAATAATTTATTATTTATACCCAGCCCATCCGGCTGGGTTTCCCCAGCCACTCTGGGCAGCTCCCAACAGAATATTAAAACATGATAAAACATCAAACATTAAAAACTTCCCTAAACAGGTCTGCCTTCAGATGTCTTCTAAAAGTCAGATAGTTGTTTATTTCCTTGACATCTGATGGGAGGGAGTTTCACAGGGCAGGTGCCACCACTGAGAAGGCCCTCTGCCGGGTTCCCTGTAACCTTACTTCTTGCAGTGAGGGAACTGCCAGAAGGCCCTCCGAGCAGAACAATGGGGGTGGAGACGCTCCATCATGTATCCTGGACTGTGGCCATTTAGGGCTTTTAAGGTCAGCACCAACACTTTGAATTGTGCTCGGAAACGTGCTGGGAGCCAATGTAGGTCTTTCAGGACCAGTGTTATGTGGTCTCGGTGGCCGCTCCCAGTCACCAGTCTGGCTGCCGCATTCTGGATTAGTTGTAGTTTCCAGGTCACCTTCAAAGGCAACCCCATGTAGAGCACATTGCAGTAGTATTAATAGATTTGCGCATTGCCTTTCCAAACACTTGTTCCAAACCACTTAACATGAAAATGTAAAGTCCATCTCCAGACCATTGTCCATTGTTTCTTGGCAACAGTAATCACAGGTTTAATGCCTTTGGACTTTGGTGGTCCTGTTTACTTATTGTGGCTTAAATCCATTCATAGGCTGTTAGGAACTGGTGGGTCTGCATGTGGCTGCCCCAAGCGGTCAACCACAAAACAGCAGGCAGGAGCCTTCTCATTCTTCTGGACTGATCCTGACGATGCAGGCTTGTGAGTGGATCCTTCTGGGCAGGAAGGTATAAAAGAGAGAGTCCTGTTCCAGTTGAGCCTTGCATGAGCAAAGAGATCATCCTGAGCGTTGCATGTTCCTGAAATGAAGAACCTAAGGAAGAGCCCTAGTGACTCAGGCCAATGGCCCATCTAGTCCAGGATCCTGTTCTCACAGAGGCCAACCAGGTGCCTGTGGGAAACCAGGGAGCAGAACATGAGCACATGAACACTCTCTCCTCCTGAAGTTTACAGCAACTGGTATTCGGATGCATCACTGCCTCTGAGCGTGGAGGCAGATCGTAGCCATCATGGCTAGATGTCATCAATAGGCTTCCTCTCCATGAATTTGTCTAATCCTCTTTTCAAGACATCCATTGTTGGTTGTTCTTTGGCCCTGCCTTGATCATTGCTGCTGTCCACTGACCCGTCTCATGGCTCCCAGAGTCTGACTCATCTCTGACTGCTGCCCACATCCCACGGGTCAGTCCTTCATGAATTTGTTAGATCCATTTGCAAGCCAACGACCTCCACCCGTGGTTGTGTTCTCCATGAGATAACCGTGTGTGAGCTTCCTTCTGACAGCTATTCTCTCTCCCCTTTCCCACCATGCTCATAATTTTTATAAACCCTCCATTTGTGGAACTGATGTAATATTGTTCTCTTACATTCATGTGAACGCAATCTTGGTTAGTTTCACAAAGCACAGGAGCTACGCTTATGCTTCTTTGCCCGTTTCTGTTTCTCCCCAAATCATAGAATTGCCCTTTGGCATTGGGAAAGCCTGAAAGGTGTTTCTTTTTATGAGGAATCCTAGCTTGTGTCCTGAGTTCAGTTTCATTTCTGTCCTTTTCCAGCTGCCAAGAACGAAATCCCCCGTCGGTTTGAGCCGAACATCGGATTATCAAGGTCAGAGAAAGAACTTCCCTGCCTCGTCCGTCTTCCCTGTTAATGCTCAAGCTGTTTCCCTTGTTCTAACTAACGTTTCCAGCCAGGCAAGCACGAAACTCGCTCCCAAAAGATAAGAGCTGCAATGTGTATATATATGTGTGTGTGTATATATATATATATCCCTCCCTGATAGCAAACACTTTTTGAGAATCATTTAAAACAGACCGGCAATTGACTCAGGTCTGCTTTCTGTCACTCTGGAGCTGAAATGTTCCTACACAGAAGCAAGGCAGGTGTCGAGCCCAGCCCACAGTGCAGAGACCCAGAAGCAGAGGAGATCTTCCCAGAGGAGAACCCCAATGAGACCCCCGCCCTTAAACAAACACTTGGATAAGACAAATTAGTGTAGCTTTTTAGACAGATGGCTGTCCACCTGTATATCCAGTATTAGGGTGGGATTAAGCAAACGTTAGCGGGACACGGGTGGCGCTGTGGTCTAAACCGCCGAGCCTAGGAGTTGCCAATCAGAAGGTCGGTGGTTTGAATCTCCGCAATGGAGTGAGTTCCCGTTGCCCGGTCCCAGCTCCTGCCAACCTAGCAGTTCGAAAGCACATCAAAGTGCAAGTAGATAAATAGGTACTGCTCCGGCGAGAAGGTAAACGGCGTTTCTGTGCACTGCTCTGGTTTCGCCAGAAGCGGCTTAGTCATGCTGGCCACATGACCCGGAAAAACTGTCTGCGGACAAACATCAGCTCTCTTGGCCAGTAAGGAGGGGTGGGGAGTTGTTGAATTCATGTTGATTGCTTGGGGATGGGAGAAGGAGCGCTTTAAGAAATGGATCTGCACAAGTGAAACATCTGCGCCCAAAAAGGTGCATATGTTTCTGCTTAGGGCAGCCTTCCAAACCTGGGACCCTCCCTGCCGGGGCTGATGGGAGTTGGAGTCCAGTGACCACTGGTGGACACCAGACTGCAGAAGACTGGCTTTGACTCATCCCTCCAGCCCTGAAGTTTTGGAACGGAGAGGAAAGTGGTGGGGAAAGTTCAGGAAGTGAGAGAGATTTTTTGCACCATGGAACAGAGAAAAATAATAATGGCAGCACCGCGAGGGGTTGGGGCTGCCGCCGTGAACCAAACGAGAGCAATAATCGCATGTGATAGAAATCTTGTTTGCACAGAATTATTTCCACCGAAGCGGGCCTTAATGCCAATATCTCGCGTTTCTCTCATCCTCCCTGACTTCCTCTGCTTTTGTCATTTGTGAGCCCAGCAGTTCGAGGACACGACGAAGACAAGGGTGAGGCCAGCAGCAGCAGCCACGCGGACACCAATTCCTCTAATCCCATTTCCATCAGCAACTCGGTGGGCAGCTGCGAAGTTGGCAAAATCGTAAGGAGCTTGCGGGGGCCTCGCTTCCGTGACCTTCCCCCTATAATGTGGCTTTCTGCGCCGGCGACGATTCCAGCCCCTACGAAACAGGGAGGCCTTGCCAGCCAGCAACCTTAATCCTTTTAACATATTCTCTATATTAGAACGTTATTAACCTTTCCTCTTAAAATGCATCCCGCCGCTGGGTTATGTTTATTTAAAGCTATTTCACCAGGCTCTCGCTGTCTCGTCGCTCAGTTTTAAAACTTAGCAGCGGGGGGAGAGAAGCGGTGATCCTTACCTCGCTGCATTGCAATTGCTTTTTATGCTTTATTCTTAGCGAAACATTTCGGATTCCTCGCAGTTCCTCACGCCCTTCATGTTTGTAAGCCAAAGCTGGGTCAGGAATGTGTGCGGGTGTCTTCCCATTGTCTCTCAAGGCAGACATCCTATTAGGCACAATGTGATCAGCAGCACAGCAGGTTGGCAGTTAGTGGCAGAGGGAATTGGTCAGAGAACAAAGGTGTCTTGCTGGTGGTTTGTAGGAAATGCTGCCCCGGTAAATGAAAAGGATGTCTTCCCTCTATAGCTGGAGTAGCAAAACATGAATTATACTGCCTGGGTTCAGATGCCCAGCCTGGTACCCTCCAAGCTTCAGCTCCTGCCGTCTCCAACCACTGGCTGTGCTGGAGTACATCTGGTGGAGGACAGTACAGTGGGACCTTGGTTTAAGAACAGCTTAGTTTATGAAGAACTTGGATTAAGAATGCTGCAAGCCCAGGAGTAGGTGTTTTGGTTTGTGAACTTTGCCTTGGAAGCAGAACATATTCCGCTTCCTGTCAAGTGTGTTCCATTTGTAAATTGAGTCCCCCGCTGCTATGGGAAAGCATGCCTTGGTTTAAGAACGCTTTGGTTTAAGAAGGGACTTCCAGAATGGATTAAGTTCGTAAACCAAGGTACCACTGTAGAGTGGTACCTCAGGTTAAGTACTTAATTCGTCCCGGAGGTCCGTTCTTAACCTGAAACTGTTCTTAGCCTGAAGCACCACTTTAGCTAATGCGGCTGCCTGCTGCCGCCGCACCGCCAGAGCACGATTTCTGTTCTCATCCTGAAGCAAAGTTCTTAACCCAAGGTACTGTTTCTGGGTTAGCAGAGTCTGTAACCTGAAGTGTCTGTAACTTGAAGCGTCTGTAACCCGAGGTACCACAGTACTGGGTTCAAGAGCTGGTTTTGAGTCTTCTGTGGCTCGAGACTCCAATTCTTTAAGGACCACTTCTTCTCCTATGAACCAACCCAGACCCTGTGACGGTCATCAGAGGCCCTTTTTCATGTGCCTCCTCCACAAGGGATCTGGAAGCGTGGCAGCATGAAAACAGGCCTTTTTTGTGGTGGCTCCCTGCTTGTGGAATGCTCTCCCCGGGAAGCTTGCCTGGTGCCATCATTATATATTGTTAGGGGCCTAGCAAAAACATTCATTTTTAACCAGGTTGGTTGGCTGGCCTTCTGGCTTGGTTGGTATGTTTTAATCTGGAGCGGAGTGGGGGGGGTTCTTAATGCTGGTTTTAATGGAGGTACACATTTGTTGTGTGCTTAAAATATTGCAAGTCACTTTGAGCTGCCATGGCAAAACCAAATAATAATAATAACAATAATAATAATAATAATAATAATAATAATAATAATAATAATAATAATAATATACCTGAAGGAGCATCTGATCTTTTATTGTCTGATCTTTTATTGTGTTTTTAATATCGAAGCTGCCCAGAGTGGCTGGGGAGGCCCGGCCAGGTGGGCAGGGTATAAGTTGTTGTTATTATTATTATTATTATTATTATTATTATTATTATTATTATACAGGATCTGTTCTGAATGATGATGCTAGTAATGAAAATCCATCAGAGGGCAATGGGAAATAGCACAGTGTTGATCTCTATGCTTTGGCGGTTTGAGAATATTCAGTACGCCAAATATACATAGACAACTTAACACCTCAGAAATGAACTGAGCATGCTTACAGTGGCGCTGTGGGTTAAACCACAGAGCCTAGGACTTGCTGATCAGAAGGTCGGCGGTTCGAATCCCCGCAACGGGGTGAGCTCCTGTTGCTTGTTCCCAGCACCTGCCAACCTAGCAGTTTGAAAGCAGGTCAAAGTGCAAGTAGATAAATAGATACCGCTCCGGCGGGAAGGTAAACGGCGTTTCTGTGCACTGCTCTGGTTCGCCAGAAGCGGCTTAGTCATGCTGGCCACATGACCTGGAAGCTGTACGCCGGCTCCCTCAGCCAATAAAGCAAGATGAGCGCTGCAACCCCAGAGTCGGTCACGACTGGACCTAATGGTCAGGGGTCCCTTTACCTTTACCTAAATACCCTCGAACTCACTGAGGCTTGTCTCTGAGCAGTGTTCATAGGCTTGCCCTGTTGATGTTTTGCTTTTGCCTTTTGGGATGCAGCAAACGCTACGGAACCGCAACCCCAGTGTCATGTCCACAACCCCAGAGCCCCCAGGAAACGACTCCATCCTCCGGCGTTGCAAAGAAGACGCCCCACACAGGTAAGGGCTGCCGTGCCTGTTAGGCTGGGCTTTCCAACACAGTGCCCAGGGGCACCATCCGACATGCCTGCCAAGGTGCTCCCCAGCCCCTCTCAATCTTTTGCTTGGCAATTGAGGGTTAATTTGCCCAATCCTCTTTTAAAGCTTGCTGTCCATCACTGCCTCCTGTGGAAGTGAGTTCCATAGATTAACGATGTGCTTCATGAAGGAGCGATTCCTTTTACAGTGGTACCTCGGGTTAAGTACTTAATTCGTTCTGGAGGTCCGTTCTTAACCTGAAACTGTTCTTAACCTGAAGCACCCTCTGCCGCCGCGCCGCCGGAGCACAATTTCTGAAGCAAAGTTCTTAACCTGAAGCACTATTTCTGGGTTAGCGGAGTCTGTAACCTAAAGCGTATGTAACCTGAGGTGTATGTAACCCGAGGTACCACTGTATCTGTCCTGAACCTCCCAAGATTTAAGCTTCTTCGGACCTCCATGAGTTCCATCATTATGAGGGAAAGGGGGGGAAAACTTTCCTCTTTCCGCTTCATCGTTTTATAAGCTTCTATCACGTCACCCCTCGCTCACCTTTTGTCCGAACTCAAAAGTCCAGAACGCCAAAACCTTTTTGCTCCATCCCCTTGATCATGTTGGTTATCAGAGGGAGGGGAATAGCAGCTGCTAGTTTGTGGCCACAAGCACTCAACTCTTCACACACACGCACCCGGTTGCTTTTCCTCTCACAGCGGACAAGTTAGCATTTTTGTTTCCCTGGGGAGGAAAACACCCGCTTGGGGTGAAATTTTAAGAGGAAAAGCAGCCCCTGTGGAAAGCGTTCGCTATCCCTGCTGGCTGCGCTTCCACTTTCAGTTCCAGCCCCCAGAGGCATCCTTTTCTTTTAAATCGTTGGGGGAATGATACACATAACTGCGCATCATGTCCAGCGTGGTCCTCAGTGAGCTGGGAGCAGGTGCCGGTCAGCGGAGGACGTCATTCTCCTACCTCTCTGAGACCACGGCTGTCTTTTGATACTGCTTCTAGGTGCTGAGTTAGTGAAAGACGCACACATACACACCCGGGAGCGGGGGGGAAGCTTGCATGAAATTGTCAGAACACTTTAGATTGCATCTGACAAGGTGAACGGGGCAACTCTGCTGTTTTGCCTCTGCTTCTGAGGTCCCTGAAAATTCTTCCCTGAGATGGGAGCGTTGCCACCGGTGAACCGGTGACATTTTGCCTGCGTCGTGGAATAAAGGAAACCACAGACAAGCAGAGAGCGCCTGGATATGAGGGTAGACCTTCTCTGTGTGTGCAGCAGTCTCCCACAATGTTTCAAAGGGAAGAACTGAATCTACAAGAGCCAGCCGAACTAGTTCAAGGTTTCTGGAGGAAACCAGGGTCCTCCTCCCATAGGAAACCGCCTGACTCTCCCCCCTCCCCCCCGTGCCAGTGATTCCTTCCTTGAAAACATCCCGCAGATGTCCTCCTACTCCTCCAGGTGTTAACCTGGGCTAGCTGAAAGATCACATCTCCCTATACAGATCTGCCTGGGTGCTAAGATCCCACCTCTCAGTTCCAGCATCATCAAAGGCATGGTTGGTGGTGACATGACAGACAGACAGACAGACAGACAGAGAGAGATTGGGGGGGGGGGCTGTGCCCATATTGCTGACTTCCCTCTGTCAGGGCAAACAATACTTTAATTGTCAGTTTTAAATGTGTCCGGATGTATTTCAATTACTGCTTTTAACTTGTTTATTTTATTACTTTATATTATCTAATGATGTTTTTAAATGTTGGAAGTCGCAATAAATCCAAACTTGGGAGAAGGGCAGGATACAAATACATTCATAGTAATAATAATAATAATAATAATAATAATAATAATAATAATACTGATGATGAGAATGATGGTGATAACGACAACCTCTTAGACCTTGGCATCTTCCGGCCCTTTCATCGGCCGCTTCCAGCAGTTAGCAAAGCTACACTCCTCTCCACTGCACACTTCCTTCTGCTAGCTGAGTCCTGAAATGTGTAAAAAGTCAGCAAAGGTAGAGCGGAATAAACTTTCTTCCTCACTTCCAGCCTGACCGAAGATGACAATGACAGTTTTGGCTGCGACGCTTTGGAGTTGGAAGGTAAGGACTTGCAGAAGGCTCTTGCCTCAAAAATCAGAGGCCCCAGTTATAGTAGCTGGTGGGGGACAGTTTGTGACCAAATGGTCAGGAGTGGTGGGAGCTGCAATGGCTTCCAGGGCATTCCAAGTTGGCTCCCAACGCAGCTTTTTCTTCCGTCTCTACAAACTAAGAGTATAACAAAAGCTCTCCCTTCTTACCAAAAGACCTGCCTTTCTCCTCCTCCTCCTCCTCTTCTTCCTCCTCCTCCTCCTCCTCTTCTTCTTCTTCTTCTTCTTCTTCTTCTTCTTCTTCTTCCTCTTCTTCTTTGGTGATTACTTAACAGTGAATCCGTAAGTGACTGTGGAGGCCAATTCTGGATCCACATGTCCTTCCACAGTGGGGACATAAGTTTCCGGGTGGGAGTTGATCACGGTTTGCCAAGTGTGCCTTCCTCTTAGCATGTTTCTCCCTTGTGTCCTGAGTTTGAGCATCTTCAAAGCCCATGACACTTTTGGTAAAGGCTGTTCTCCAATTGGAGTGCTCGCAGGCCAGTGTTTCCCAGTTGTCGGTTCTCACTCGCTGGATCATCACCTCGTCGTGATGAGTGGGCTTGCAGGTCCCTATGACCCTTGTGAGTGAAGCTTGTACTCCCAGCAGGGTCACCCAAGGCAATAAGGTCAAAGGGGAGGAGCTAGACAAAGAATGACCCAACAGCAGAACAGGCAGAAGACAGCAGAAGATAACAAGCAGTATATTACATCGGGTGTGAAGGCAAATGAGGGCTTGCAGATAAGGATCTACTGGTCATCATGACTACTCATGCCATTGGAACAGAGCCTTACTGCAAAGACTGTGCGTTGGTCAGTGTGCACTGATCTACACACATAAAACCAATTCACTCACAGGCATAGAGCTTTCTGCTCCTACAGTGGCCAACCAGGTCCCAATGGGAAGCCATCTGTTCCACCTAGAGCTGAGACCCATTTTAACCCTTCTGCTGGGGACTGAAAGTGGGATGTTCTGCCCCCAAAGTAGCTCTGCCAGGGAGCGACAGGCTCTCTCCTATACATAAAGGTAAAGGGACCCCTGACCATTAGGTCCAGTCGCGGATGACTCTGGGGTTGCGGCGCTCATCTCGCTTTATTGGCCGAGGGAGCCGGCGTACAGCTTCCATGTCATGTGGCCAGCATGACTAAGTCGCTTCTGGCGAACCAGAGCAGTGCACGGAAACGCCGTTTACCTTCCCTCTGGAGTGGTACCCATTTATCTACTTGCACTTTGACATGCTTTCGAACGGCTAGGTTAGCAAGAGCAGAGACCGAGCAACGGGAGCTCACCCCGTTGTAAGGATTCGAACCGCCGAACTTCTGATCGGCAAGTCCTAGGCTCTCTGGTTTAACCCACAGCGCCAGCCTCCTATACATACATGAGGGCAGAATGGCAGGGCAGGGCAAGGCCAAGAGGAGCTTGGAAAGAGGCTTGTGTTGGCATCCATGGTTTTATTTTGCTTTGGTGCTTGCTACTGGGACATGATTTCCCCCCCCTTCCTTTTCTTTTTCCTGCACCTCCTTTTCCAGATGACTTCCAGGACAGGCACTCTCATGGACCTTCCTCGCTGCCTTCCTCTTCGTCTTCCCACCACTCTGAGGGGCTGGATCTTGAGCAAGTCAACTCCATCTTCAGGAAATTCTCTCTGGAGAGGTACTTGGGAGAATGTGGGATTTCTGCACCAGTTCATGCAATCAGCAAAACGAAAAGCTTATCCACATTTCTTCTTGTCTCACTTCTTTCCCCTGGGGGAAAACTGCTCTTTAGCGCTCAATCGGAGCAGGTATCAATTGGGGGGGGGGTCCAGATTGATGTTTGCTCTGATTTAGAGCTTAAGAGTGGGTTTTCCCTGGGAAAGTGAGGAAAGGGGGGAACTGCTCAGTCCTGTATGTAGCAAGTGTGGCTCAAGAGGAAAACCACACTGGGTTAAAGCTGACCAAAAGTCCAGAGGTAGCATTATTATCAATTTACGATGGGGTGGGAGGTTCGCAGGCTAGGAAGGACTTGCTCACACATTTTTTGCCAGCTGCATGAGTTATTTTAGCTAGGAAGTGGAAAGGGCAAGCAGAATACAAAATGGAAGAATGGTATAAAGAGGTGTGGGATATAGCTATTAATGATAAATTAACATGTGCCATTAAGGTAAGATGGGGAGTATGGAGGAGAAATGATTTTGAGGAGATATGGAGGGTGTTTGTAGAATTTGTGCTGTTAAAAATGGAAAGGGGGTCAAACCATCACAAGAGGTGTTGAAATTTTGGGAGGATGGAATGGTCACGGTGGTGGGGTGCACATTTTTATTCTTATTTATTTATTATTATTACTTTGTCAAATAAAGAAATGATAGATAGATGATAGATAGATAGATGATGATTGATAGATAGATAGATAGATAGATAGATAGATGATAGATAGATAGATAGATATAGATAGATAGATAGATAGATAGATAGATAGATAGATAGATAGATAGATAGATTAGATAGATAGATGATAGATAGATAGATAGATAGATAGATAGATAAGATAGATAGATGATAGATAGATAGATAGATGATAGATAGATAATAGAGATAGATAGATAGATAGATAGATGATAGATAGATAGATAGATGATAGAGATAGATAGATGATAGATAGATAGATAGATAGATAGATGATAGATAGATGATAGATGATATAGATAGATGATAGATAGATAGATAGATAGATATAGATAGATAGATGATAGATAGATAGATGATAGATAGATAGATAGATAGAGATAGATAGATATAGATAGAGATAGATAGATAGATAGATAGATAGATAGATATAGATAGATAGATGATAGATATAGATAGATAGATGATAGATAGATAGATGATAGATAGATAGATAGATAGAGATAGATAGATAGATAGATGATAGATAGATAGATAGATAGATAGATAGATAGATAGATAGATAGATAGATAGATAGATAGATAGATAGATAGATGATAGATAGATAGATAGATAGATAGATGATAGATAGATAGATAGATAGATAGATAGATAGATAGATAGATAGATAGATGATAGATAGATAGATAGATGATAGATAGATAGATAGATAACACAAACTATAAAAGAGGAAAACCAATCAGACCTGTGCTTGCACAGGACGAGCAGGAGTGTGGATGAGCCCTGAGTGACGAAACCTCCTCCATGGATAAAGCCAGCTGTACAGCCCAACTTGCAGGGTTCAGCCTCGCCTTCTCCCTGCCATGCTAGATCTCTCAATGCAGGGAGAAGTTCTTTTATGCAGGGAGGGTGTTGCATTCTTGTTCTGCAAGGAAATATTCAGATATGCAATACCTTCCTGATCCTTCGTAATACCTTCCAGGATCTGCATTTCTGGATGGCTCTGCTGATCCCGTACAGTGTGCATTGAAGAGGGAGTATGAATGAGAATTTATGGACAGAAACATTTGCAGAAATATTGCAAATGTTTAAACCTGAAATTCAGGCATTGCCACAACTCACACTCTTAAATATATGGGACGCTACTCTAAAACGATTCTCCTTGAAGAAAATGTTAATTTGGTTTCTAGTGGCTGCCAGACTTCCTATTGCACAGAAATGGAAGAACTTAAACGGTCTGTTTCTTGAATTGTGGCATAAGAATTATGGAACCTCGCAATTGCTGAAAAGATAACCCACAAGATTTGTGCGATGAAAGGCAAAGAGCCAGTAGAACAATTTTATGTAATTTTGTGGGACTTTGTCTTACGTTTCAAATGATGACCTACATGACTCCTACAAGACCTGCACCAGAAAAAGGCATATGGTCTTTTTATAATAATTATATTATTCTATTTAATATCCCTATGCAGAATTGTACTTACCATTGTTGTATAAGCATCTCTCTGAAGACTTTCCACGTTCTTGTGTTGAAAAGTTAATATATATATATATATAGCACCTGCCTTTCACCAGCAGGTTCAAGGGTGGGTTACAACAATTTAAATTTCAGAATTAAAAACAGTTAAAACATGTTAGGCTCTGTGAACTATTTCCATCCCAGCTGATTCTAATAAGAACTGCAACTTTTAAGAACTGGTGCCTAAGCTTGCATTTTTCCTTCTCCTTCCCCATCCCTTTTTCCTTATGTGACATTTCTTTTGGGGACTGTCTGACTGCAGTTGCATGTGTGAGCTTGTGTTTGCATGTATGTATGGGGGGAGCCTGCCCCCTACTAGCTCAGGCCCTGGTGATGCTTTCATTTTGGACCCCCACCCCTGGCTTTAACCTGCTTTCACTGCAAACGAAACCAGCCATCGCCCCCTTGCCTCTCTGTCACGGGTGCCAAGTCCCCACTTGAAAATCCCAGGTGACTTGGGAGAAGTCAAGGAGAGTGTTGCCTGTGTCGCCATTCCTTCCTTAGGCCCTTCCGCCCCTCGGTGACATCTGTCGGACGCCTGCACACCACCTACCATGCCGTCCAGCAATTCATGTTGAACGGAGACAGCCTGAGCTCGGAGATTACTCTGCTGGGGGGCAACGTCAAAGGAAACTTCATCAACTCTGTCAAGCTGGATTCCCCGGCGGAGAAAGCTGGCCTTCGCGAGGGACTGCAGCTGCTTCTGGTGAGGGTTTGGCATCAGGGAACAGGCTTGAGCATCTGACCTCTGCTTCCTGTCAATTTTCTTCCTGGCTGACATCGGAAAACTTCCTTGTTTGTCCATCTAGTTCAGCGTTCTTCCCTCCTAATGCTCCAGGGTGTTGAGCAGAGAAGGGTCTTTCTGGACCCTTTCTTTCAACTGGACTTGGTTATGCTAGTACTAATTACTAATTAGGTAAAGGTAAAGGGACCCCTGACCATTACGTCCAGTCGTGACCGACTCTGGGGTTGCGGCGCTCATCTTGCTTTATTGGCCGAGGGAGCCGGCGTACAACTTCCGGGTCATGGCGAACCAGAGCAGCGCATGGAAACGCCATTTACCTTCCCACCGGAGCGGTACCTATTTATCTACTTGCACTTTGACGTGCTTTCGAACTGCTAGGTGGGCAGGAGCAGGGACCGAGTAACAGGAGCTCACCCCGTCGCGGGGATTCAAACCGCAACCTTCTGATCAGCAAGCCCTAGGCTCAGTGGTTTAGACCACAGCGCCACCCGTGTCCCTAATTATGCTGTACTAATTGCTTGAAATCATTAGACGTCCATAGCGCACTGGGTTACTGCAATGTGCTCTGTGCGCTCTCTGTGGGCTTTTACCTGCTGAGAGTGCAGATTCCTGCAGCGTGAACTGCTGAACATGACTGAGACCCCATCAGCACATCACACCTGTCCTTAAAGACCTGCACAGGTTGCCGACTTGCCAAAGCCCCTAACAACTTGGGGCCAGTATACCCGCAAGTTTGGCTTTCCCCCCATATATGCCCACTCAACCATTTTGATCTGCAGAACTGGCATTGTGGTTGTTAAAAAAAGTTATATTTTATTAAATTTTCAAAAATTTCACATACACATTCCAACGCAGTGGTACCTCGGTTTAAGAACAGTCCTGTTTATGAGCTATTCGGTTTACGAACTCCGCAAAACCGGAAGTAGTGTTCCGGTTTGCGAACTTTACCTCGGTCTACAAATGGAATCCGAACTGTGGAAGGGCACTAGTGGCGGGAGGCCTCATTAGGGAAAACGAGCCTCGGTTTAAGAACAGATTTGGTTTAAGAACGGACTTCAGGAACGGATTAAGTTCGTAAACTGAGGTACCATTGTACGTAGATTTTTCTTTTGTTTTGTCATCTTCCCATCACATTTTCCACGGTGCTTTTTTATTTTTTCCTCTTGCTGCACCCTATCTTCTCTCTCTTGTACCATGACAATAGTACAATAATCTCTATTTCCTTCTGTTACTCATTGTTCAAATCCTGCTTGCAAATTCAGCATACTGTAATATTTCTTTAGATAGTCCAAAAAGAGCTTCAATTTTCCCACAAATCAATCATCATTAGGTTCTCTTATTTTAGCTGTTAGCTTTGCTGATTCCGCATAGTCCATCACTTACCCGTTCTAGAACTGGCATTGTTATGGGTGCTACATAATATTCAATCCGTGCTTGGAAGAAGACTGTGGAGGCAGAGGATAGCCATCAATAGCCATCTTCGCCATGAATTTGTCCAATCTTTTAAAGCCATCCAAGTCGGTTGCCAGCACTGTATCCTGTGGGAAGGAGTTCCATAGTTTAACTATGTGCTGTACTTTATTTTAACTCTCCGGAATCCTTGCCAGAAGCAAAAATGGGAGCATAGGACTTGTCTCATTTCCTTGAAGGTAGGCGTCCCTCACAGCCCTCCAGCTGCATTTATAGAACAGTCACGGATGTCCAAACGGAGTTATCCATCCATCTAGCAATTGCTGCTATTTTATAATCATGGGGTTGCAGGCAGCAGAGGAGAGAGAGAGAGAAAATGATTATCATGGCAACTGCTGAATAAGACAGGCTGCGTGTTCCAAATTGATGTTGGCTACATAATTTAATAGGTGAAATAATTGCCTCCGAGGAGCGAATAATGCTGTTCGTGTTTTTCCAGGTGGAAGGGTACATCAAAGGGGAAAACACAAGCGCTCCCTTAGATACCTGCACAAAGGAAGAAGTTCATTGGACGATTCAGAGATGTAGTGGGCCAGTTGTGCTGCACTGCAAATCAAACCACGAAGGTAAGAGATGTCATGTTGCTCAATGCAAACTTTCAGACAAGTGAGTATATTTATAGACAGCATACGGGGCCAGTACAATAGGCAGTCAAGGAAAAATCCCCGGCAACTGGGGTAGTCTACAGTTCTTTCATCCACCCCTGCCAGTTCCCTCAATTGACAGTAAATGCTGGCAAAGCGGGTGTGTTAATGGAGACAAATATATTTTATGTCTTTGCCCTGAGAGCAAGGATTTGTGGCTGAGGGTTTTGAGAAACCAAATTAGGAGTCTCTTTGTTCCCACGGTGCCAGTGAAAATCTAAATTTGGTTTTTGGAGGGCTCGAAGTTTTTGAAGGGTTTGCTTTGCCGGCTGCCTTTGGCCAAGCTGTTGATCGCTAAAACAACAGAAAGGGCGACAGACCAGGCTTTGCGAGGCTGGCGTCCTCTCCAGCTGTTCTGGGGCTCATTTCATCCCCCTCGATCCTTCCTTCTCTTTACTCCCAATTGAGTCGAGCTTTGTTTTGCATTTTGTTTGAGATATAAATACATAGAATAGAGCGGTGCTATGACTTCCCTCGATCTGGGCATTATACTTCTGTTGACGCAGCCTAGAATAGCATGAGCTGTTTTTGCTGCTGCAGCACGCAGTAGACTCATTGGTTAGAGCGTGGTGCAGATAACGCATGCGCAGAAGCGTTCTGCGTGCTTCGCGCATGTGCAGGAGCACTCTATTGCATCACACGCATGCGCAGAAGCGGCACTCTACTTATGGCCTTTCAGGGTGCGAACGGCACCCCGGAATGGATCGCGTCCATAAGTAGAGGTAGCACTGTAGTTACAGAACATAGTGTGAGTTCATCCCTTATGGGGATTGAGCCCGTGTGCTGCTGGCTAAGAGCCAGCAGACAGCAAAATACATTAAGAGAACAGCATCAAGAGAAGAAAATGGCATCAAGAGAAAGATGGCTGCGTGACTTGGCTCTTCTATGGAGTCAGCCAGGGCCACGCCCATCTCTCTGGTCACATGCAAGGGGAGGATGCTCCAGACCAGTGGAACAGGAAGTTATACTGGCTGGAGTAACATCCCCCTGCCTGTGTCCACTCTAGGGAAACAAGGAATGTTGTATTTGACTGCTCCAATGGATTACATCCCACATCCATGGGTCTGGAGTTCCTTGATGTTCCATATGCAAAAGCACCTGTGTCTGGATTCTGGGCTGTGACCCCACTGAGTCAACAATCATTTGGGCCGGGACTTCAATGGGTGGCTTATACGCACAGACACCACAATTTGTGTGATCACAACCATCCTCTTTTCTTCTTTTCCCCTTTTGACCCACTGCCATTTAAACAAGATATTTTGAAGAGTTACAGAAATACCACACAGCTGTCACCCAAAGAATCGGAACATCGCAGCAGTGGGCATATTGCAGAAAACGCTTTAAAATAGCTCGAAAATCAATTTTTTAAACTCCGCGGAAGATGTACTTGGCCTCTGCCAGTGCAGGGGGCCAGGGGAATTCAAAAAGTGGAATTTCTCCCCGGGAAAGTATCCTCCCTCTTTCTCTCCCCTCCCCTCCCAAACTCTCCCACTCCTCTCCTTTCATGTTTTCAAACATAAAAATGAATGTTAGACTTGGCAGGAGCAAAAAGCAAGAATCAGATTGTGCGAGGTGCCAATTAGAGTTAATTATGAAATGATTGAGCTGCACTTTATACCAAGCACGTGCGCACAAAGGAGAAATCACAGCACACTTTCAAAGATGTAAACCTTCCGTTTTGTTTTATTTTTTACTTCCACTGACAGCACTCACATGAATAGCTGCCAGAAAACGGGGTCACGGTACCTGTTCTTTATGAGAGGTTCTCTTTATATAAATGCTGTATGCCAGCTGGAAAGATTTCTCCATGCCTTCTAGCTGCTAGGTTCAAAGTAGGCCGCCTAATGAACGAGCCTGGAGCTCATTTACAGAGTGACTGTTTTGCATGCGGCAGGTCTCGGGTTCAGTTCCCTCATCTCTGGGCGTCAGGTGACGGGGGTTAAGATATTTGTTTGCCTGAGACACTAGAGAGCTGCTCCACTGTCAGGGGCGAGCAGGATGCTTGCGAGTGTGCGCTGGGGGAAGCGGGGCTGGAGTCTGGCTTGGAAGAAGGGGCCAGGCAGTGGTCAGGAACTGTGCCAGCCAGGAGACAAGCAGAGGAAGCTTCAGAGCTGGAGGGGGGCACAGGATGGGTCAAAAAAGAAGAGGAGGAAGAGGCTGGTCAGGCAAATGAAGGGCCAGGGGCTTCCCCACCCTCTCAACCAGAGTAGCTCAGTTGGTTAGAACATGGCGCTGATAATGCCAAGGTTGCAGGTTTGATCTCTATGGGAATGTTGTGGATACTAGGAGAGGATATATTGATTAAATATTACCCTTCCTCACTCATGCTTGTGAGTCGGTAGCAGAGTACATTCCCCAATATATAGCAGGAAGCTAGTTGGTAGGTTCGTTTGAATCTCTTTACTTAAGCAATCCAGTCTGGCTTTGTCCAGATTGGGTTATTCCTGGTAATTTCCCCTTCTTTAAAAATAATAAGAAGTTTACTCACATTCAGTTCACAGTTGGTTCCCTGAAGGCAGGCTTAAGCTTGGAGTTACAGGACAGAGTTTGAGTTCATCCCATATGGAAATGAGCCCATGTGCTGCTGGCTGAGATTCTTGGGGGAACCATTTTCTAATTTTCGCGCGCGCACACACACACACATATACACGTGTGTGTGTGTGTGTGGTTTTTCAAATTACAGTTTTACAATCACATATCCAACATACAACATAAAAACAAGATTCCAAGGAATCTCCTGGACCTCCCTCCTCCCCTTTGTGGGTCCTATTGTCAGTCATTTCCTCCTGCATCTTTTTTAATAATCCAAATCTTTTACATCTCCATTAAATCCAAAATTCACCATTAAACTACAAGTGTTATTCTTCCGGTCATTTTTGCCGTTTTGGCATAATCCATCAACTTAATCTGCCATTCTTCTCTGGTCGGGACTTTATCATCTTTCCATCTCTGGGCCAATAAAATCCCAGCAGCCTTGGTCACAAACATAAATAGTCTTTACCGCTCCATTTTCTGATTCGCTTCATGCGGCAAAATGTCTTGGGCCAGCCTTGCTTGCAAGCGAGACAGTCAGCATCAGGTGTAGTTGAGCCATTTGACTAGGCTGAACCCAACTGGCAACTCCCCGCTGGGCCTGCATGGTCAGCTGAGCCCAGATCCTTCCTGCTGCAGGTTATCGGAAGCTGGTGTCCGAAATCGAGGAAGGCCTGGTCACTTCCGGAGACTCCTTCTACATCCGCCTCAACCTGAGCATCACCAGCCAGCTGGACTGCTGCTCCCTGTCTGTGAAATGTGACGAGATCCTGCACGTCCTGGACACCATGTATTATGGCAAGTGCGAGTGGCTTTGTGCCAGAGTTGACCCCTTCACGGACAAGGATTTAGAATCGGGGACCATCCCCAATTACAGCAGGTGAGCACAAATCCCGATTTTCACACTCGGGGCCAGCTCTGGGTTTGAGGTAGGGGTGTGGGCAAAGTGTCCTCTGGTGGGGGGCTGGTTGATCTGGGGCAAAGAAGAGGAGGGGCAGATAGATGACCCCAGGATCTTGCGGGCTGGAAAGGTGTCTGCCTGGAATGGGAGAGCCTGAGGAAAGGGATGCTGGAGAGGGTTCCCTCTCATAAGAAAATAAGAATAGGCTGCTGGATCAGGCCAATGGCTCATCCAGCATCCTCTTCTCACCGTGGCCAACTAGATAGATGCCTGTGGGGAAACCCACAAGTGTCAGGCTTCAGGGAATTGGCTTCCTCCCCCGTGGCAGTAGATAAGCAGAACGAAGGGAAAGGGGTCATCTTACCAGTTAGAAACTTTAATAATCATGGCAAGAGAACAAAGATCTCATAATAATGGCGGTGCTCCCAATTAAGGATTCCACCCCCTTTGGTCCCTATCAATCTATGTCACTTCTGCGTCTTATAATCTGAGTTTGTACTCCCTGTGCTTTCTGTTCTACCACTTTCTGAGCCCTTCTCGACTTTGGGGAGGGCGGTGGAGGAAGGCTGTCTAGAGACTGTGAATCTGTTAACCCTCTCCCTTCCAGTGTCTCTTCTCCTAGCTGTTCACCATCCAGTATTTCCCAGCTTCTGCCTTCTGAACTATGTCCCTCTGCAAACCGCTGTTCCAAATCTATACTGTCCTGCTCCTGGGAAGATTCAGGGGGGAGGCTCCCACCATTCCTCCTCAGTGCAACCCTCCTCAGCACAGTCCCTGACACAAGCAGGATTCAAGCACAATAACACTCCCCCTTCCTGTGGCTTCCAGCAACTGGCCGTGAAGGCAGAGCAGAGCTGTCATTCCCAGCAGCCATCAATTGCTCTCTCCTCCATTAATCTGCCCAATCCTCTTTGAAAGCCATCCAGACTGGTGACCATCACTGCCTCCTGTGGAAGTGAGTTCCATTGTTCAACTATGCACTGCATGTTCCCTTCCCTCCACCCCTGTTTCATCCCTCCACCCGTCTCTGCTGCACAAGCCATGGGCTCCCCTCCCATTCCTGGAGCTCTAGGGGCCCAGTTCCTGCTCAATCACTTTGTCCATTGCCCCACCAACTCCGCCTTGAGTTTTCAAAAACCACATCCAGTCCCACCTCTCCAGGGGAGGTTGTTGCCCTGCTTTGTCTGTCCACGGTGACAACCCCTCTATCACCTGGCTTGCAGAGATGCCAACACAGACGGAGCAGATCCTGCCTTCCTGGAGAACTCTCAGGTGGCTTTGCCAGTCTAAGGACCAGAACTGCTTGCCATGCCAAGTTGTGCCAACCCCATTCGTTGCAAGGGTTGCAAGGGGCATGTCATTGCTGGATCAATATATTTGCTTGTGTAGCATCTGCTGGGCCTTTTAACTGCATTCTGGCTGTGTGAGCCAGTGTGGTGTAGTGGTTAGGAGCAGTGGACTTGTAATCTGGTGAACTGGGTTCATTTCCCTGCTCCTCCACATGCAGCTGCTGGGAGACCTTGGGCTAGTCACACTCCTCTGAAGTCTCTCAGCCCCACTCACCTCACAGGGTGTTTGTTGTGGGGGAGGAAGGGAAAGAAGATTGTTAGCCACTTTGAGACTCCTTAGGGTAGTGATCCAAAGCGGGATATCAAATCCAAACTACTCCTCCTCCTCCTCTTCTTCTTTCTCAACAAGCATTTCCACAGAAGCTACAGCTTCAAGTTCTGCATTGAATGGTTGCTGGGACAGCCCCCGTCTGATGTTGATGGCCCCACCCTGTCTTACCTGTTGGTGCTCGCTGCATGCCAAAGGGGGCTGGGAATGGGGCTGCCATTTTGATTTCCCACATTGCTCTGGAGCACCCAGCATGGTGTCACTCTGGGGCACTGGGGGAACTGAAGTGAAGGGCTTGGGGCAGGTTCCAAAGCTGGTGGGTCATAGGAAGCCAGGTGCTGATAAGAGGGCTGTCCGCACTTGAGTGAGTGGAAGCAACACAGTGAAAATGGCTTGGCTGCCCCGATGGTGCAGTGGGTTAAGGGAGCTGTTCTATGCAGTAGCTGCTTCGAAGATTCCTGCAAAATTGCTTCCAGAGACAGCTATGCATTGTCATGGTGATGCCCTGATTTAAGGGTGATTTTTATTATTGATTCCTTTGCCTCTGTGCGTGCACGCATTTAAAAAAAACACCTCTGCTTTCATTGCCTGCTTTTTATCCTCGATTCTGGCTTTTATTTACTGTGTTTTATAGACAAGGTGTTCTCGGTATTTGTATTTGCAATTGTGGTTTGCTTAATATATCTTCGAGCTCGTTTGAGTTTTGCAAAAGCCTTTGGCTGCGAGCAATAAAAATCTTCTGAGAGGCCGGAGTCGTAGATGGCATTGTTTTCTTGCACAAGGTCCATTGTGCAACCCGTGATCACTCAAGTCTCTGCTGCCAGTCAGAGTGGCCAATGGAATGGGACTTGGAATGAGACAACTCTGTGTATTTCCATTTGAAAATGCCCTAAACAAGGAGCTAGGGATGGGATAAACATTTGGCTTGGTTCGAATTCTAATGCAAAACCTACCTAATTCCTGCTTCCCAAAGCAATACACAAACAGATACTTAGTTACCCTTTAAAATTTATGCACTTCTCTAAATTTTACAATGCGGTTATCCTGCCAATTAATGAGTACAGTCTGTATATTACGTGAAAGTGAACACAAAAATATATCTATTAGTAAGGATAGTCCATCCTGTTTCATTTTTGCCTTGTTTTGTCCATTCCTTCCTCCTTTTCATGGATTTTTTGAAATAACTCATGAAAAGTTTGCATTTAACCTGCATGCGTTATTTTATGCATGCATAGTTTTCAATGCACCTTTTCGCGAAATTTGCATTCTGTACACATTTTAACAGTAAAAGAACGTGTTTTCAGGCGCACTTTCTGCTCAGCAAAACGGCATTGTGAAATCTGGGAAAGCACGTAATTCCATCAGGAGTTGCTTTCCAACCTGCCAATGAGTTCCAGACTGTCAATTTGGGTAAGCCCACTGCAAAAAGCAGACCGGCCGAATCCCTCCTCAATCCCTATATGTTAGTGACAATTATCTCAATGGTTTGCAGAGCGCAGCAGCTCCTCCTAGTGAAACTTCAGCGACTGATGAATAGAGGTAACAAGGATGAGATGGACAGTTCGTACGGTACACTCAGAACCCCTCGGGTGAGTAGCCAATTCCACATCCGCTTCAGCCTTAGAGTCTGAGCTGCTCTCTGTCACAGCCTCTTCTGGTTCACTAAACCCTGTTCCCTCTCCTGCTGCTGACACATCCTCCTCACAATCTACTCCTTCTCCCTCTGACCACTCATTGTCACCCAACCACCAGTCCCCTGGCTCAGAGCCTTCTTCCTCTGGGGTTCCCCAGCTGCTGCCTTCCACCACTCCTGAACAGTCAGTCCAGCCAGTCAGCAGTTGCCATCCTGGAAATTCTTCAGATCAAGGGGATCTCATCATAATGACAGAAGTTTTGAACCCTGGGAGGGAGGGAGGAGAAGACCACTCTAGAACAGGGCCTCCAATCTGCTGCGTTTGATTCAGAACGGTACTATTAGTGCTTCCCCCCCCCAAAAAAAAATAAAAATATTTAGGGGTACTCTCATTTTCCTACTCATATTGAAATACTGCCCCTCAATGAGGCCAAACTTAGATTCACAAAACGTTTAGGGGTATGTGTACCCCCACGTACCCCCATAAAAAAGCACTGGGTACTATGGTCAATGGTATTGAAAACTGAGGAGAGATCTGTTGCTGGACTGCACCTCTCACAATTCCTGGTCCAGCAATACCCTGAAGGCCACAAGTTCCCCACACTTGACCTGCATTGCAGGGGGTTGGCCTAGGTGAGCCTCAGGGTCCCTTCCAACTCTACATTTCTACAATTCTAGGGCCTAGAACTGCCAACAAAGGTCCATTGAACAGGCTTGATGATTCTTTCTCCAATGTTTTTCTTTTCTACCAGAACACACTGCAGCCGGAAGAGGTTCTGCCACCCAAGTGACCCCAAAGCCAGCCCTCGCCTCTCTCGGGCCAGTTTCCTTTTGGGTCAGATCTTACAGGTAGAAAAGTAACTCTCCAAAAATCCCTTTTGCACCAAATATATTTTTAGCTGGCAAATGAAATAATAATAATAATAATAATAATAATAATAATAATAATAATAATAATTTATTATTTATACCCCACCATCTGGCTGGGTTTCCCCAGCCACTCTGGGCGGCTCCCAATCAAATATTAAAAACACAATACAGCATTAAACATTAAAAACTTCCCTGCGCTCCCAAACCAATGACTCTGTCATGGAGGTGCAAGTGCTTCCACTCTGTGCTTCCATCCTGGTTGTTCGACAAGCAACAAGTGGCCTGCCTTGGTGTCAGGAAGACACATGCCAACAAAGCTTTCCTTGACAAGGGTCTCTCCTCTGCTCTCAGTTTGTCAGCAGGTCCGAGAACAAATACAAGCGCATGAACAGCAACGAGCGAGTCCGCATCGTCACTTCGAAAGACACGCGGGTCAGGACAGAGGGGCACCCGGTGACAAAGGCCCTGCTGGACAGATTTGAAGGTACCAAGTTATGCAGCAGAGGGGCTGGCATTCAAAGATGCACCTGGGAACTTGGCAGGAAGAGAATTCTAAGAAGAGCAAAGTAGGTTTGGAGTGGTCAGGACAATGGCAACCAGGAAATCCTTGTTGCGTCCCTGCTGGCTAGTGAACACAGTGTTGCACCCGCCCCAGTTTCCAGGGGTTCCTGTGCTTACCCAGGGTTTGGTTTACTTGGAATGATGGGTAGTGGAGACTGTGGAGCCTTTAGGATATTTGGTTTTATTTGCATATGAATAAGAGGGAAGCGGGTGGCGCTGTGGGTTAAACCACAGAGCCTAGGACTTGCCGATCAGAAGGTCAGCGGTTCGAATCCCTGTGACGGGGTGAGCTCCCGTTGCTCGGTCCCTGCTCCTGCCAACCTAGCAGCTTGGAAGCATGTCAAAGTGCAAGTAGATAAATAGGTACCGCTCCAGCGGGAAGGTAAACGGTGTTTCCGTGCACTGCTCTGGTTCGCCAGAAGCGGCTTAGTCATGCTGGCCACATGACCCGGAAGCTGTATGCTGGCTCCCTCAGCCAATAAAGCGAGATGAGCGCCACAACCCCAGAGTCGGTCAAGACTGGACCTAATGGTCAGGGGTCCCTTTACCTTTACCTTTTACAACCTGAATATAGGATAGAGCAGGGTTTCCTAAACTTGGGTCTCCAGCTGTTTTTGGAGTACAACTCCCATCATCCCTAGCTAGTAGGACCAGCGGTCAAGGATGCTGGGAACTGTAATCCTAAAACAGCTGGACACCCAAGTTTGGGAAACCCTGGGATAGAGGGGCTCACAGCATCAACTCTCCAGCAAATCTTGCTTCCCTATTAGGATTCCAGCAAAGCCCAAACTTTGGGTCCAACACAGAGCAGATATGTTTCTTTCTCTCCAGCTTCCAGCATACCAAGGCAGTGAACTCTAAAAGCGTAGAAAACTACAGGGGCATTGGAGAAGTTTTATTATTGAACCCACATTCAAGATTTTCAGTAGCAAGGTGATAAGTGCTCTGTGGTGCACTTATCTGTGGTGCTGAAACTTAGGGGTCTGGCTTTGGTTTCATTAAATGCTTAGAAACTGTGCAGAATATAGGTAATAACCAACACACTTTAATGTAACAAACTGTAATTTGAGCAAGATTTTAATTTTTTGCACCACATTTAACAAGCAGGGACTGTGCAAATCCATTATTTGACCTCTTCTGACACCCTGTTGCACATCCTGCACAATACACACACGTTTTCTAGCCAGACTGGTAGGTTCTGTTGCACCCGTCACCACCAAGCCTTTTGTCTGATGGATGCATTTCTCTGTGTTCTGACACCACCCATCCCACTCTAGGACTTTTCATAGTGGCCCCCTGAGTGCGTTTCTGGAGTTTATATGCTCCCCTCTCTCCCCAGAGTTTGACTCGGTGAGCGAGATCAACAAGAGCTTCAGCCTGATCCCGTACAGCTCAGTGAGACCCATCCATTGTGACCGTCGGCGCCCTGTCCTCTTCACGCCCACAATGCTCTCCAAGACCTTCATCCAGAAGCTTCTCAACTCAGGAGGGGCCCTGGAGTTCAATCTATGCAAGCCAGGTAATCTCACCAGGGAGAGCATCTGCTGGGTGTGTTAAATGCCTACCTGTCAGGTGACAGAGGAAACAACCGTCACGGCAGGTTGCCAGGAAAGGATAAGACAAGGAAAGTCCTTACCATCTGCTTTTTATTCAATATTTACAGAGAGGGGCTTGGAATGCAGCCTCTTAGAATAATGACATTGTCCCAAGTGACTCTCCACTGCCTTTTTCTCCCACTTCCTCATTCGTCATCTCTTCTACGGATGGCTCTGAGGGTCCTTTGCTTCTGAGCCTTCTGCTCTACTACTTTCAAGGCTCTCCAGATTCTGGGACAGGGGAGGTCTGGAAGGCTTTCTAAAGACACTGTGTCTGTCAGCTGTTGCCCTCCTGGTGGTTCCTCTTCCTCCTCCTCTTCTTCCATTATTTCCCAGCTTTCCCCCTCATCTGCCTCTGAGCTGTGACCTCCCTCAAACCCTTGTTGTAATTCTGAACTGTCTTCTTCTCTGGAAGGGTCAGGCTGGGGAAGTGGTCTCCACCATTCCTCCTCTGCCCAGTCCCTTGCGCTACCTAACCCAGGCATAGGCAAACTCCGCCCTCCAGATGTTTGGGGACTACAACTCCCATCATCCCTGATCACTGGTCCTGTTAGCTAGGGATGATGGGAGCTGTAGTCCCAAAACATCTGGAGGGCCAAGTTTCCCTATGCCTGACCTAACCTGTCAGTACAGATCCACAACTTCCTTGCTTCAAACCAAACAGATCCAACATATTCTTTAGGCCACACTGAACACAGTAGGGATTTCTTTCCAAGTAAATGTGCATAGGATCATGCCCTAATCATGATTAAGGGACGCACACTGGCACCAGTGGCCTTGAATAAAAATTGGACAAATTCACGGCAGGCGGCCATTACAGATAAAGAGGGTGCCCCACATTGAGAAGCAAGACACCTCTGGATCTGTATTCACCCAACTGGTGCCCTCCAGAGTTTTGGACCTCAACTCCCATCAGCTCCATGGCTGTGCTGCCTGGGGCTGATGGGAGTTGTAGTCCAATACATAGATATCACACAGATGCTGGGAGCAAATAGTAGAAGTCAGCCATTGTCTGAAAGCAGTCTTTGTATAATTCCCAGAAGAATTTATTTGGCTGCTGCTGAGTTCTGGATTAGATTCACCTCCTTGGTCTACTCCAACAAGCAATGCAATCCTTGGGTTCTTAGACCCTTTTCATGCATATCCATTTGTTATATCTGTTGCAGATATTGCGCACATTGTCAAAATACGGCCTTTCAAAGGTGTCTGACACTGCAAGGTGGGCTGGCAATCACACAAGCGCCAGCTATTATTCTGTCCTGGCAGTCCCTGTGCGTTTTCTTGAAACAGATCATGCTCAGGTTCAGCAGATTTAACTAGCTGGTGGATAAACACACAGCCAGCTATGTCCTCTGCCAGCTAAAGCCCTGGAGTTGTAAATCTGAGGATAATAACAAGAGCAAATCATTATCCTGCACCTTTTATATGCTGCGTCCTATTCATCTCAGTATTTTAGGGTTTCTGAAGCATTGACTGTGGCTCAGTTTGGATTAAAGTCAAGTTTCAGACGTAGGAATGAGGCAAGTTGGATGTCCAAAGCCTCCATCTCATCATAAGGGCTTGTGTGGTGCACCAGATGAAATGGTGGTCTTAGATGTGGGGATCTTTGATCTACATCCCCCCGACTCAGCTGCAAAGTCAACTGGGTGGCTTTTAAAAGCCACTCAACCTAACCTACCTGAAAGGGTTGTTAAGAAGCTAGATTTACTGTGAATGGGCTCCTCTTGACTATCGCACAGGGGAAACAAACCACAATTCCTCTCTTTGTTATCATTCTCTTCTCTTTCCTGCTAAAATAAGTTCTGAAAAAGTGTGGCAAGGGTCTGCCCCTTCTGAGTGTTCCCTCCAGTTTATCAAGGAGTAGGGGAAGTGTTTCGAGGTCTTACGAAAGCAAAACGCTCTTTATTTGCCAAGGTGGGATCTGAAAGTGACCTGGTTTTGGTGACGTCTGTCCGTTAGCCGCCGTTGTTTGATGATGGTGAGGATTCTCCAAACCATGGTTGGAGATCTTCCATGCTTACTACAAAGTTTGTCTTCGTCTGCCTTCTTTTCCAGATATCATAACAAAAGAAGAATTCTGTAGGAGGCAAAAGACAGAAACAATCATCTATTCCCGCGAGAAGAATCCTCACACCCATGAATGCATTTTTACTGCAAATATTGACGCGGTCGCTGCCAAGGTAATTGGGGTAGACCTGGGTCACCCTTCCCCAATGTACTTTGGCCTGACCCTGGAGTGAGGAAACCTTTTTTTTAATGCCAAGGTCCACGTCCCTTGGGGGGGAGGGCATCCTATGAAATTGAATGTTGCAAGATTCAACTGAGATTTTTAAAAGTATTTTTCCATGTAGCACAGAGCTAAACTTTGGAACTCCCTGCCACAGGAGGCAGTGATGGCCACCAACTTGGGTGGCAATAATAATAATAATAATAATAATAATAATAATAATAATAATAGTAATAATTTTTATATCCCACCCTCCCCAGCTGAGCTCAGAGCGGCTAACAACAATAAAAGTAACACAATTTACGTAAAATCACAATCAGTTAATTGAAATGCATTCTAAAATCAGCTCATTCTAAAATCAATTCAGAATCAAATTAATGGCAACCATTGGGCTACAGTTCTGTGGGGATTACAGAAGGAGGGGGTCAGACTGTGCCCTGGCCAAAGGCCTGGCGGAACAGCTCTGTCTTGCAGGCCCTGCGGAAAGATGTCAAGTCCCGCAGGGCCCTAGTCTCTTGTGACAGAGTGTTTCACCAGATCGGGGCCACAGCCAAAAAAGCCCTGGCTCTGGTTGAGGCCAGCCTAACCTCCCTGTGGCCCAGGACCTCCAAGATGTTTTTGTTTGCAGACCGTAAGGTCCTCTGTGGGACATACCAGGAGAGGCAGTCCCGTAGGTACGAGGGTCCTAGGCCGTATAGGGCTTTAAAGGTTAAAACCAGCACCTTGAACCTGATCCTGTACTCCACAGTACAAATTCATGGAGGAGAGGGCTGTCAGGGGCTACTAACCCTGTTGGCTCTGCTCTGCTTCCATAGTCAGAGGCAGCGATGCTTCTGAATACCAGTTGCTGGAAACCATGGGAAGGGAGAGTGTTGCTCTTGTGTTCGGGTCCTGCTTCTGTGTTTCCCATAATGGGCAAATGGGCATCTGGTTGGCCATTGTGAGAACAAGATGCTGGGCTGATCCAGCTGGCTCTTCTTTTGTTCTCCCCAGCTGTTTTTTAACTACAACTCCCATTGGCATCAGCATAGGAGTTACCATCCAAAACAGCTGGAGGGACCCTACACCGGAGAAGGCAGGCCTGCGTTGTTGGGCAGTGCAGAGCATCTGCCTTTTCTGTAATGCTGAAGGTCTTGTGGTGGGCTCTCCCAAACCGTGAGCCATTCCCAGCGCAGTGCTATTGGGTTCTGTTTCTTTTGGGACAGGAACACTTAAGGTATCTTTGTAAGGTGTGCACGTGTGTGTGTGTCTGTGTGTGTGTGTGTGTGTGTGTGTGTGTAGCATTAAGGGTGGGAAACAAGCACTTCTGCAAAGCAGAAGAAAGCTGAGTAGCTTCTCCATTCAAGCAGCCTCACCCTCCTCCCCAATTTCACCTGTCTCTGGTTAGAAATGGGCAGGTCTTTATCACTTACACAGCCCAACAAGACAATGACAAAAATCCACCAACAGCATGCAAATCAATTTGGCTGACCTGATCCAAAACACCCACCCACCCCACTCACACACGAAAACAAAGACCACCACTTGTTGTTGTTGTTTAGTCATTTAGTCGTGTCCAACTCTTCGTGACCGCATGGACCAGAGCACGCCAGGCACTCCTGTCTTCCACTGGCTCCCGCAGTTTGGTCAAACTCATGCTGGTAGCTTCTACAACACTGTCCAACCATCTTGTCGTCCCCTTCTCCTTGTGCCCTCCATCTTTCCCAACATCAGGGTCTTTTCCAGGAAGTCTTCTCTTCTCATGAGGTGGCCAAAGTATTGGAGCCTCAGCTTCACGATCTGTCCTTCCAGTGAGCACTCAGGGCTGATTTCCTTAAGACCACCACAGCGAATCACAAACCAACAACCACACCCTAGGCCAACCCCAACCTCTCTCACCACCAAAGGAACACAAGTGAACAGCAAAGAACCTGTACAAGCAACGCTGACACCAAACCCCACATATATTAAGTAAAATAGAAACATCACCACCCCACCCCACCCCCACTCATCTTTCCCCCCTTCACCTCTTTCCCCCTATTCTTCCTAATGTCTCAACAAATGAAACCGATTTGTTTTTTTAAAAAATGTGTTACGTGGAAAAAAAATATGAGAGAGAGACATTGCACATGCCTTTGTAAATCAATAAAATTTTTAATAAAAATACATTATAAAAAGAAAAAGAAATGTGCAGGCGCCCCAGTTCTCTCTGTGTTTTCTGAATCTGCCAACGGCCTTTTGCAAACACACACACACATTTTCCACCCTCCCACCAACTAGAGGTTTTCACCTTTCCCAAACACTCTAATAGAAGGGTCACCAACCTGTTTAGGCCTGTGAGCACATGGGGCATGGCATGGGCGCTACCCACTCTGATCCCATCTCACTCCCCCAGATCACCCCTGCCCAAGAGGAAAACGTGTGTGCGCGCACTCACAGTTCATTTTCCCAAGGGATCTGTGCATAAGTCAGGTCCAATAGAATTCATCTGAGCACTGGAAAGAATACAGAGCTGAAAGAGGAAGTGGGAAAGAGAGTCACTCTTCCACTTCTTCCTTTACACTGTATGCCAGGGGTAGGCAACCTAACGCCCGCGGGCCGGATCTGGCCCAATCGCCTTCTAAATCCGGCCCACGGATGGTCCAGGATCAGCGTGTTTTTACATGAGTAGAATGTGTCCTTTTATTTAAAATGCATCTCTGGGTTATTTGTAGGGAATAGGAGTTGGTTCATTTTCCCCCCAAAATATAATCTGGCCCCCCACATGGTCTGAGGGACAGTGGACTGGCCCACGGCAGAAAAAGTTTGCTAACCCCTGCTGTATGCTTTTCAAGGGGGGGGGAGTAACCACATCATAACCAAGGAGGGGGGCTCAGAGACTTCAGGGGCACCAGCAAAAGACCTCAAGGGCACCATGGTGCCCACGGGCACCACATTGACGAGTCCCCACTGTAATAGGTGTCCCAAGAGAGGGAGAGGGAGAGAGAACAGAGGAGCTGTCCAACAGAGAGCAGAGGTGTTGCTTCAGCACTGCCTAGACTTCAAGGGAGCCGCTTATAATAGTTGGTAATGCTGTCTCACCCCTTCCTGGCCTGTCCTCGGGGCCACGATCCAGAGAACTTGAGGAATCAGGCATCTCCCTTGTGTGTAGGCTCCGGAGACTTGTCCTCATGCTGCTGAAGAAGCATTTTGTACCTGCCTACTCTGAGTTTTCATTTGGACACCCCAACACTTCTGCCCCAGGATGCAACCATGGTTGACTGGGAGAGAGTCACAAGTAGGGGGAGGAGCCCAGTTAGGGGGTCATGTTTCCTCCAAGCCTTACTCCATCCTCCCTCTGAGGAAGCTGGGTGGAATGGCTGCTGAGAATTTTAGGCATGTATTTTTCCAGGGCAATACTGGGCATGCTTAGTGGGATTGCTCCCCAACTGGGGTGGGAGTGGAAGAACGCTTACCAGCTGTCCCTTTCGTATAAAAGTCAGCTGTCATCGTTTTCTCTCTCAGTTTCAGCTGCTGAACAGGTTGTAACTATTCTCCAGAGACAAAGAAGAGCATCAGGTTTAAAAAAACACACCAAAAAAACACATAAAAGAGGAATAATTACTGAAAATATGCATGACAGCAGACATTGCCACATGACTAAATAAACCACATGCAGTGCTAATCACAAATCAGGATAAACTCTTAGACCATGAAACAATTTATCAGGCCCTGTGCTCTTTCGCTCCCTTCCCAACCGCCTCAAACTCCCGCAGAATTTTGGGCACTGTCTCTTTTCAGAATCTCATAGACCAGATAACCCTATTCTTGTTTAAAACTGTTTTTCATATTTTATTTTTTAATTGCCGTAACCCACCTTAAAGTGAAGGGCAGGTAAGAAATAATAATAATAATAATAATAATAATAATAATAATAATAATTGGGGACTGCAACAGAATGTTGCAGCATAGCACTCCTGTGCAATGTTCCAGCCATTTAGCCACACCACCTTCCATAATACTCCATTCCACTCCCACCCCAGTTGGGGAACATGCTCACTAAGCATGCCCAGTTCCTGTTGGATCCTCCCCCTTGGGGGAAGAATGTTCTTGTAGTTCTGCCAATCTTGAGTTTCCTCCAAACCTGCTGCTACTCTCTTCATTTGCCTTGGTGTGCCCCTTTTGTCCACATAAATACATGCTCATAGTTCACTATTTGCAAATACATATACTAGACTAGAAGCTTCACCCCACCGCATTAACCTCCTAGTGCTTCCCCTTCTCAAATATTCCATTGTATGAAGGTACTTGACACAAAACTCTGCCATTGTTCCCTGTCAGTTCCCTCCAACCCTGCTTTACCCAAACTTTTGCAGCTGTTTTAAACCACCACTTTCCACCACCACTTTAAACCAGTGTTTCCCAACCTTGGGCCTCCAGCTGTTTTTTGGACTACAACTCCCATCATCCCTAGCTAGCAAGACCAGTGGTCAGGGATGATGGGAATTGTAGTTCAAAACAGCTGGAGGCCCAAGGTTGGGAAACACTGCTTTAAACCACTGGTGTTGTACAACCTGCCTTCTCTTTTGCTCTTCTGCCTCACCCTGATGTTGCTCTAGAAATCTTCCAGTGGGGTTTGCGCTCTGACTTCTTGCACATCTAGGACTGTGATGCAGCAATACAAATCCTTCAATGGAGGCTGTGTGATGACAGCCTTACGTTTTTATGTATATAGGAAGATACATAGAATGGTGTGGGATCCTTCCCTTATTCTCTTTTCTGTCACTCTCTTCCTAGTTTGATAATGAAATGTACTTTTCTTCACAATTAATCTTTTCTCTTTCCATTCATCGTCTTTTTTTCATTATCAGCTCTCCCTTCTCTCTTTCACTCTTCCTCCACTTTTTTTTTCAGTCCCTTGTTTCGTGATCCACCTTGACACAGCCAAGCACCCTTCAGTTCTCAAATTCACGTTTTAGGTTTCATTCGCTGGGTTTTCATGCACCGATATGGAAAGGATGGGAACCTGTTAAAGAGAGAGAGAGAGCTACACACACATGCACGCACACACACACACACACACACACACAAAAGGAGGGTCTGAGCTGCAGAAAGAGACAATGATGTGTAGAACAAAGATTATAATGTCAAACCCAAACAGATGGCATGAAATGCCGGATGCTTGTTACGCAGCAGGGAACAAACAGCCAGACGAGAGTAGTGGAGGGTTTTTCTCTTTCTTTTGAGAAGTAATTACAGAACATGTTGCAACTGAGCAAACAAAGTTCAATTATGTCGGTACGTTTGGTACATGCTACCTTCATTTTGACATAATCCCCGCCTTCAGATGAGTTAATTCTCTTTTGGAAAGGGGGCCTTTGCAGCAAGTTATCCCATGGTGAGAGAAAGGATGGGTTTTGTCGATGGACTGCCAAAATCTTTAGTGGTGCAGCATCATCCAAGTAACATGGTGCTTTATGGAGGGTTGGGGCCAGGGGTTGGGGTGAGCCACAGAACTGGCACCAGCCATAGATTGAGAACTTCAGAACAGCCTGCTAGATCAGTCCAGTGGTCCATCGTTCTCGGAGTGGCTGAACAGTCAGCTATTGTGAGAAACCAACACACAGGATTTGAGCACAAGAGCAACTCTCCCCTCCTGTGGTTTCCTGGGTCCCCACAATGGCCTTGTAGTAAAGTTGAGTTTGGCAAGATGTGGCTGCATGAGGGTGGTGGGGATACCAGGCCTAAGGAGACGCAAAGGAAGATGGGCAGAGTCATTTAAGAGAGCAGAGCTGGAAGAGCGAACGTTGTAGGCAGAAATATCCGGGCTAAAGGACAAGAGGGGCAAGTCCTTGGACAACTTCAAAGGGAAGGTTGACGCACAAAGCCATTTGATCAGAAGGACGATCAGTGGAGCGTGATTGGCCTGACCTGTTGGAGATTGTGTGCTTACAAGCCCCAAGATGTGCATACCAAAGTCCTTTTCCTGACTTCCTGTTTACAGAACAAACATTGCCTGCTTGAAGCTGGGATCGGCTGCACAAAGGATTTAATCAAAGCCAGGATATATCCTATTGTTCTCTTTATTAAAGTCTCGGAAAAAAATATCAAGAAGTTCAGGTATGGCGCAATTCAATACCACATTCGCAACACACATGGCTCCACTTTCACGCCACCTGTTTAAAGCAATATCCTACCACTTGAAACTGTCGTGGGTTCCCCCAGAGGCTTCTGGGAGCACTTTGATAAAGGCGCCGAGAGCTGTTTGGGTAACCCACAAGTTCCCTCCCAGAGCTACAAGTCTCAGAGTGGTTTAACAGTCAATCCTTCTTCACAGAGAACTCTGGGAAGTGTGCCCAAAACTGAGTGTAAATAAAAAAAATGCATGATACAAACCGCATTGCATTCGGGGAAGTTGGATTGCAGAATTGTATCGTGCAAAATTCACATGAAAGTACTGGCGAATTTTCACGGAGGATTTCTTTTTTTAATTGAAACTGTGGGGAACGGAACCTAAACTTGGACAAAATGAGAAGCTAAGAGGAACCAAAACTGACATATTTCCCCACTCTTAAGTGTCATACAGGTGCATTCATGAAAGAATCAGGCCTATACGCTTCCTAGTACTTTGCTTTTTTTGTGGGGGAGGGGGTTGGCTCAGGAGTGCGAAAATAAGTTGGGGGATTTGTTCGAACGGAAGGAAAAAGAGGTGCGCATACATACGTATTAAATGCATATCCCCTTTGGTTTCCTTGCATGAAACAGGAAGCTGCTCCCAAACCCATTGGTTGAGGACGAATTATTACGGACATGCCGCCAGAATGAAAAAGAACTGGAGGGCTTGCCGTGCCTTTACTCCTCTTTGGAGGCCGATGCCTGGAGCAGCATTGAGGACCTCCTGCGGATCATCAAGGAGAAGGTTTGGGAAGAACAGCAGAAGACCATCTGGATTGACGAGGATCAGTTGTGAAGCCCAACAGGGGGTGCGGACAATGAGGAACTAGCTGGTCTTTTCAAAGAGCTGTGCTGGAGGCTCTGAGATACCTCTGATGTAGAGCCCTGGTTCCATCCATAGCAGTGGCAGGGACTCTCGACAACTGGCAGAAGGTGGAGCATGAGAGAGGAATCAAAGGCTCTGAGTGCACAGCAATGGGCATCCCAGATGCCTCTTTAGGATTTCGACCAGGTTCGTGTCACTCAGAGGAGTTGACACTTGCCTCTTCCGGAGCAGCCGTGACTGAAGGACGGAGATCTCAAAGAGAAGCTCAAAGCTTCTTGCTGAAGTTCTCAACATGGGAGACACACTAAGAGGGCTTCCGCAGTTGCTTGGAAGAAGTGGCAGCACCCCTTGCCACTCCCTGCACTGACATAGTCTCTTTGGAGAGGCCCCACACGCCGACCACAAATGAATGTATTCCACAGAAGAGGTTTCGGGCTGCTCAGCGCCTATATTTCACTACAAAATGCATAACCAGTTTCATGCCAGGTTGCCACAACTTCCACCAAAGAACTCAAAATTCTTAGATCCCTAACGTCCTACTCTTCCCTCCTGCCCCCCATGGCATCACAATGTCCAGAGTTTCCCCAGGTTTGGGAAAGGCTGTTTTGTGCTACTGCGTGGAATACAGTGGTACCTCAGGTTACAGATGCTTCAGGTTACAGACTCCGCTAACCCAGAAATAGTACCTCGGGTTAAGAACTTTGCTTCAGGATGAGAACATAAATTGCGCGGCGGCAGTGGGAGGCCCCATTAGCTAAAGTGGTACCTCAGCTTAAGAACAGTTTCAGGTTAAGAACGGACCTCCAGAACGAATTAAGTTCTTAACCAGAGGTACCACTGTACTCTGCATTTTTCAGTTTTCAGATAGAAGAGTCATCAATCTTGGAAAAGCAGAAATATTTCACATACTTCATCTCTGCAAACATTCACATTCCCCCCCCCAACCCTGTTCTGCATCATGGCTCCCCACAGCAGGGGCTGTTGCAGCTTTGGCAGAGTTCTCCCGCCCACCCCCTGGCTCCCACGATGACTGCCGCCTCCTCTATAGATTAATATTATGTGTGATGCCACCCAGTGAGCATTCCACCCCCGTGGTCCCACCCAGTGAGGGATCACGAAGTGCAAGATGGCTACATCTCGGCATAGCCAATCAGCTGCGACTGTGCGATGACATCGCCAAGGTCCACAGAGAGTAGGGCAACGCAGATGAATAGATGGGTGTTTCCCCAAGGAGCGTCGCAAGCTTGCTGCAAAGGGGAGGCCTTTCTCAGCACTGCCAAAAACGTCAATGAGAAACGGCGAGTGGTTTAGCCGGAGCTCTCCTGGTTAAACCAGCTGAAGTCCATAGTGCAGATATGCCAGGCATAGGCAAACTCGGCCCTCCAGGTGTTTTGGGACTACAGCTCCCATCATCCCTGACCACTGGTCCTGTTAGCTAGGGATGATGGGAGTTGTAGTCCCAAAACATCTGGTGAGCAGAGTTTGCCTATGCCTGAGATATGCCTTTTGCCTTAGGTCACATTCACACCTGACATAGCAAGCGCTGTGATTCCTCTTTAAACTGTCATGGCGTGCCCCAAGGAATTCTGGGAGCTGTAGTCCGTGAAGGATGCTGAGAGTTGATGGGAGATCGCTTCTTCCCCTAAAAAAACTGCATTTCTCAGAGCAGTGTAACAGCCAATCCCGCTTCCCAGGAAAGTCTGGGAATTGTGGTTCTGGGAGGAGAAGAGGGGTCTCCTACTAACCCCCAGCACCCGAAGGAAATGAGAGCTCCCAGGATTCTTTGGTGGGAGCCATGAATGTTTAAAGTAATATCACAGTGCTTTGGCCTTAGAAACCTTGGCTGTCTGTAGTATAAACAGAACGGTCCGCCAGGCCCTCCAGCCATGTGCTTCTATGTGCCTGTGCACCTCAATGGGCTAAAATAAATTAAGGTTGCACAGCTGCGCCTAGCAGATTGTGCCCTCCGCGTTCAGTCACCGTGCACTCTCCCCGTCCAGCCCTTTGAAGAATACAGATTGCCACGGGCTTTGGAGCTGGCAGCTAGAACAATTCCCCCACTTTAAAAAATCTTAAATTAAGCAGTGAGTTTTTCCACATGCCCATAGCAAGCTGCCTTGTCACTTGACATATTTTCTTCTATATAAACATTTATGAGCACATAAAAATAACAGGCTCTTTCGTTCTTTCTGTCTCTCTCTCTCTTTTAATAAATTGCACCATTGGAAATGCTGCGGTTTTTAGTCCTTTCGCTGATTGCAACAGGCTGTGAGCTGAGAGGGAAAGATGCAAGGAGCTCCAAAATAACTCAAATGTGGTTTTGGTAAAGTTGGTACCTGCACCGAAGAGGAAGGAAATCTCGAAGGTTATTTATAAATGTGTAACTGGTTAGAGCGTAGTGCTGGTTAGAGCATGGCGCTGATAATGCCAAGGTTGCAGGTTTGAACCTTGTATGGGACAGCTGCATATTCCTGCATTGCAAGGGGTTGGACTAGATGATCCTCAAGGTCCCTTCCAACTCTACAATTCGGGGGGGGGGTGATAGATAGATAAACAGACAGACAGACAGACAGAAAGACAGACAGATATGGTCACAAGGTCGTCAGTTCAAATCTGCACAACAGGGTGAGCTCCCGTTGCTCTGTCCCAGCTCAGCGCAAGCAGATAAATAGGTACGGCTGTGGCGGGAAGGTAAATGGCATTTCCGTGCGCTCTGGTTTCCATCACAGTGTCCCGTTGCACCAGAAGCGGCTTAGTCCTGCTGGCCACATGACCCAGAAAGCTGTCTGTGGACAAACGCCGGCTCCCTTGGCCTGAAAGCGAGATGAGCGCCACAATCCCATAGTCGCCTTTTACTGGGCTTTACTGTCCGTGGGTCCTTTACATTTACACACACACACACACACCCCAAAAAAATATGAATGGTAAATGATGCTTTGTGCTGGCAAGGTGGGATTCAGCATCTGCAGTGATAAAAACAAACAAATTAGACAGCTTATCTTTACCAATCTGCTTTGGCCAGCTAATCAAATGATTTTGTATTATATAAAGCCAGGATTGTGCAGTTCAGCACATAAGGGATTTGTCGCTTGTAAGAATTCCCCACAAACTTTATATCGCGGTATTTGATTTTCCTTTGGTGCCAGCATGCTGGCTGGAGGCTAGCCCGTCAATCTTTCGCTTCCTCTCTCTCTCTCTCTCCTTCTCTATTTGCTATAGCAGAGAGCATAATTTGGGGAGGAGGAAAGTGAGAATGTTTCTCCTCCCTCCTACCAAGTTAAAATGGAGATTAGCCCCAGCGATTGTAAATGCATCAACAGCCGACTCAGATATTTCTCTGAGCAGATCCTGCTGATCTGTATTCATGGCCTTGGGCTGCCATCGTGGGCCACATGATCAATCTACCTTACACACATCGAGTAGACTAATCATGGAGCTGCAGGAATGCAGAATGTTTGTATCATGCGGCCCAGCAGACCAGGCCAAGCTGCTGCTGGAAAATTAGGATTCTTGAGCAGCGCAATTTATTATTCCGTTCCGTGGAAGCTCATGTGAAAGCAGATGAAGCTAACTGTGGGAGTGGAAGCATTGACTTCAGCTGCTGGGGTCTAAAGATCATCTGGGACAAGGTAGCCCAGTATATAGTCCAGTATACCTGAAGGAGCATCTCCACCCCCATCATTCTACCCGGACACTGAGGCCCAGCGCCGAGGGCCTTCTGGCGGTTCCCTCCCTGCAAGAAGCCAAGTTACAGGGAAGCAGACAGAGGGCCTTCTCGGTAGTGGCACCCTCCCTGTGGAATGCCCTCCCACCAGGTGTCAAAGAGATAAACAACTACCAGACTTTCAGAAGACATCTGAAGGCAGCCCTGTTTAGGGAAGCTTTTAATGTTTGATGTATTACAGTATTTTAATGTTTTTTTGGAAGCCGCCCAGAGTGGCTGGGGAAGCCCAGCCAGATGGGCGGGGTATAAATAAATTATTATTATTATTATTATTATTATTATTATTATTACCCACGAAGCAGGAGTAATTTTGCTTGGCTGCACCAAATTTTAAGTGAGATGAAGTTGCCAAAATAGTCTCAAAATTCCCCTTGGAGTGACAACTTTGTGGTGCAGCGCATAGTTAAACCACAGGAGACAGTGATGACTACCAACCTGAATAATAATACGCCAGTGGGGTGGAAGTTTATTATGCTTGCTGGTTTCCCCTTTGGATGGCCTCTGTGAAAACAAGATGTTGGACTTAATGGGCCACCGGTCTGATCCAGCTAGCTCTTCTCATGTTCTTAATAGAAGCAATAAAACTTCATGAGCTAGCTCATGTGTGTTCTGGGAAAGCAAAGAACTCCTGCCAATTTGCCTCTTGAAAGGATCTGTCATTCCTAAGCCAATTCCAAGGTCAGCATCAAGGCCAGCCCAATATATTTTGCAGCCTGAGGCAAAGGACAAAATGGTGCCTCCCTCGTTCCTCAGGCAGAAACCAACCACAGTGGCAGCTGAATTTTCCCTGGATGTTGGTGATGGGCATTGTCCTGCAGCACACCTGAGGGCAGCAAGGTAAGTCACACAGCATGCATAGCTCTGTCCTACACCTCTGCCCAATGGTAGGGCCGGTACTGATTGGCATGGATGGGCAACTCCCATGAGCCTGAACCCCAGTAGGGAATCCACTGCCAAGAGACCCCTGGATTAGCTCCACTTCAGCACTGCAACTCTGCTTGTTCACCTGCCTCTCTCTCTGGCCCAGAAAAAAGTTGTGGTCAGAAGGAGAATCAGTAGATGCCACTGCCTGCTTGATCATTGCCTGTCAAGAAAGCAGGTGGTGGCAACCAAGAGAAGAAGAAGAAGAAGCACCTGGCAGCAATGATGTGGGGATATGGGGGACTGTGGAGCAAGGTTTGTCCAAGGACCCTCTAAAATCTGGAGCCACCACCATTCAGTCCCCTCCTGACCCCTACCTGAATATTTCATTATGCCACAGCACTATAGATATATCCATGCAACCTCCCAGTCCACCTTAACCACGTATTCCTTTGTTAGTAGCCTGCTTCAAGGGTTACAATACAAAATTAAGTAGCCTTAGAGGTGGATCCAGGCTCCCTTAAGGGTGAGGATATGGTACACGCCTTAACAGAGTGTCCCCAATACTGAGGACTTGTTATCTGGATCCCCAGCAATAGCACTTGGTAATGGCTCCGCTTTAGGGAAAACTCTATTTCTTTTTACGGCTGCAGATTATGACGCAACGTACAGAACCACCACATTTGTTAAAACAGGAGAAGCAAAAGCTATTGATTGCACCTGAAGATCACACAGGTTGCAATAAATTTATCGCCCCGTTTTAGTGAGGGAATGTGTACAAACAGGTTTTTTATGATAACGTACTCTGTATGCACTTGTTTTAATGCTTAATTTTCTTTAGTGATGCATGCATTAGTATGAGTGTGTGCATTAGGCCTGATTGGCCGAAGAGCAATAAACCAGTCATTCAATCATAAAAATTCAAGGAAAAATACAGCGGAGGGGTGATGAGGATGAGCATGCTTGCTCTGCCCCATTCGTGGAGGTCAGCTATTGGCCATGGGGAGCCTTCTGCACTCATGTGCTCTATGTCTATGCATATTAGAACTCATCACAAGTACAGAAGACTTACTGATCCTGACGATCGT